CCATCCATTCACTTATCTAGCTACCCACCTTCTGATTCATCCACTCATCTACCCACCCTGCAGTCCATCTAGCCACCCATCTATCCAACCATCCATTTATCCTTCCATCCACCCACCTGCTCATCCATGCACTTGGCCCCTCCATCCGTCCATCCGTGCACCCACCCATCCATGTACACTGAGACTCTTCTGAGTACAACAGGGTGCTGTGCTGAGTGCAGGGATATGGGGACAAAGGGTAAGGAAAGTGACTCCCATTCCCTGAGAATTCACAGTCCCCTGGGGAACCAGACCCTTCCACAGCTGGTCCAAAATGAGGTCATCGGAGATAAGCCCCGTAGCCCAGCAGAAACTACTCCACTCTCAGCACCCAAGCCCAGGCCGTCATTGACTCTGACCCTAGCAGACCTGGGAAGGAGAAGAGCAGTGGGGCAGACCCTGGCTGCACGGTCTTCTGTGCGCTGGGCATTCACGAGCCCTCTCAGGATGGACCTGATACACTTTGCTCTTCCGTCAGAGTCTGGTCCGGGGCTCTCCACCAGGGCTGCGTGTCAGAGTCTCCTGGGAGACGTTGGTTTAAGTGGCCTCCGTTGTTCAGGGGTGCGGCCCAGGTGTGGACACTACTCTAGGTGACTGGGATGAGCAGCCAGCTCTGAGAGCCGCTAGCAGGACCGAAGCCACCCCAGTGCAGGTGTGGAAGACACTCAGGGCAGGGATGTTGCTGGTTGCCCTGAGACCCCCAGAGTCAGGCCGGCTGGCTTTCATTCTGCATTTTCTCTGCCCAGGCTCGGTGGTGACCACAGGTTTCAGGTGGAGGAACCTGTGCAGACAGGACAGGCAGTCACCAGGACCACCTGGTGGCTAAGGGGGCATTGGAACCCATCCTCGTGCCTTCCAGGGTCTGGACCCCTACGCTCGGCTGTGAAACCTCCCCTCCCTTGCCAGCCCCCCAGGCAGGGTTACAGTTCCGTGTGGAGGTGCAGACGGTGGGTTTGCAGTCCCGGCTGCCGGCGCTGCTCTCCGGGGCCGCCCTCTGCTAGCCTGGCAAATCACTTTGTCTCTGCACCTCAGTTTTATTAGCTGGGAAATGGGGACACGTGCACTCCATGAGTGAACGTCTGTAAAATCAGGAAACACCATGGGCTCAAATACGCTGTTTTTATTCTAGTGTCACAAAGTCCCTAAAATGTCCCCACCTCCTAGGGTCCACCACAGATGCCCATGGATCTGGCACACACTGCCGGAGCCCCTGCCTTTATGTTGGCAAGTTCCCCTAACACTTGTTAGCTCAGGGCTCTGGGCTCCAGCCCTGCGGAACCTCGAGTGGGAGTGGCTGGCAGCTGTCATTCAGCCCCGAGTAGAATGCCAGGGATGCGGCCCTGCAGGGCGCTGGAGGTAGGGTGAGGAGGAGGCAGATGGGACAGGAGCTGCCCTTTCTTCTTTTATTTTTCTTTATTTTTTTTTTTTTCTGAGATGCGGTCTTGCTCTGTGGCCCTGGCTGGACCACAGCGGTGTGACCTTGGTTCACTGCAGCCTCCGGCTCCAGGCTCAGGCAATTCTCCTGCCTCAGCCTCCCGCATAGCTGGGGCTACAGGCATGCACCTGGCTAATTTTTTTAATTTTTTTTGTAGGGTGGGTCTCACTGTATTCCCAGGATGGTCTCGAATTCCTGGGCTCAAGCAGTCCTTCCACCTCAGCCTCCCAAAGTGCTGGAATTACAGACATGAGCCACCACGCCCAACCGGGAGCCCACCCTTTCTCAGGCCTTGGAGGAGGTGGGAGGGGGGCTGGAAAGATGGTGCAAGTTGGTGAAGGCGCCAATCAAATATTTCTCAGCAAAGTCACCTCCCCCACGCCTGCAGGGCCCTCATGCTACACCGTCCACACTTTCCCTTCTGCTCTTGCTCCTGTTTTTCTGATCTTGTCTCTGGCCATCCTGGGTGTTCGATGCTCTGCAGCCCTCCTCTTCCCTCTCCTCCTCCCTCATGGATCCACCCCTTCCCACTGGACTCGGTCACCAACGCGTGTGCCAACAGCGGACGGTGGGGCCTCACCAGCTACCTCCGAGCGGTGAGCAGGCATCCTCCCTCCAGTGTGTACACGCACCCGTGCGTGCTTCCCTCCCGTGGCCCAGGAGCTCGAATGCCACCCCAGTTTCTGAGTCTGCAGAGAGAGGGAAGGGACCAGCTGGCTTTGTGGAGGGGTGGGGTCAGGAGGAGGACCGCGTTTCTGCTCCTTAGGTTCTCACTTAGCAAGTCTGTCACAGGGCGGCGAGCACCGAGACGGCCCCCGCTGCAGAGCCCAGGGACGGTGGGCACTGGGGGCGTCAGGGAGCAGGGCACGGCTGGGCTGCGTAGGCTCCACCCTTCCAGCTGGGCATACCTGCCCCAGGTTGCTGGGCCCCCGGGCGGAGGGTTTGGGGCCGATAAACAGGAGACATGGCCGGGCCTGAAGCAGAACACCCAGCCTGGGGCCATCTCCCTGCTGCTGCCAGGCCCCGTGCCGCCCCCAGTGCTATAACAAGGCTTTGACATCCAGGCGGGTGTTTTCTGAAGCTTTCCTTCCCTGTTAGACTGCAAGCCCCACCAGCAGGGAGCAGGGGTGTCGGGGTTGCTGCCCACACAGCCCCTGCCCTGGCATGAGCCTGAGACAGAGGCTGGAACCCTCCTGGCCCCACTGACAAACCTCGCAGTACCCATGCAAGAGTTGTGGGGTGGTCTGAGCACGGTGGCTCACGCCTGTAATCCCAGCACTTTGGGAGGCCGAGGTGGGTGGATCACCTGAGGTTAAGAGTTCAAGACCAGCTTGACCAATATGGTGAAACCTGGTCTCTACTAAAAATACAAAAATTAGCTGGGCACGGTGGCGAGCGCCTGTAGTCTCAGCTACTCGGGAAGCTGAGGCAGGAGAATTGTTTGAACCCAGGAGGCAGAGGTTGCAGTGAGCCGAGATCATGCTACTGTACTCCAGCCTGAGCAACAGAGCAAGACTCTGTCTCCAAAAAAAAAAAAGGTGTTGGGTTGATTCGTAGGAATGAATGAAGGATGCAGAGGACAGGCAGGGGATCAGGGAGGCAGGACACGTGGACATGCAAGGTCCACCCGTGCGGGGCGCATGGGCACGAGGGGTTTCTCCTCAGCCAGGGGAGGCACTGCCCGGAGCCCAAGAAGACAGGAGCCAGGCAGAGGAGGGGTGTGGATGTGGAGGGTGGCAGGAGAGAAACTACCCTGCACAGGCAGCCCCCAGCCTCTGCCTACATCTGGCAGGTGCTCTCTCCCTTGTGTGGTATGAACAAAGTGTTCGTGGCCCCGGGAGATGGGATCATGGGGTAGAGGTGGAGGAGAGTGAGGTGATCAGCCTCTTCCCTGCCGGGCACGCCTCCCTGCCACCGCAAACCCCACCTTCAGCAAGGACGCGGATTCCTGCCTGTCCCTGCCAGGGCGGCTGTGATTGTCAGATCCATCCACATCTGAGCAGGGCTCCTCATCCTCGGCCAGGCTGCTCCAGGCAGAGGCAGCCTCTGTCCTTCCAGGCAGTGGGGCCTCCACACCGTAGACTCCTGGGGTGCGAGTGCCTCGCCTGCTTAGGGGTGTGTCTGCAGCAGAGGACAGCGAGTCAGGGAGGCCAGAGTCCGTCCCCTCTGCCGCCTCCAGCTGCACCTTTTGCTCTCCTGCCTGTGGAAGGCCCCAGCCCTCCTCCTGGGGTCATAGGACGTCCTGCCGGGATGGCTTCTCGGGTCCTAGGTCAGCAGTTCTCACCGCACCCAGATTACTGGAGGAGGCCTGGGGTGCACACTGGAATCTGCATGGCCCATCCACAGGCTCCCAGGTGCTGCTGATGCTGCGGGCCCAGGCACTGCAGTTTGACAGGGACTGTCCTAGATCGCTGCTGGGGCCCTGCCAGAGAGCCTGGGCTTCCGAGAGCCTCTGAGAGGGGCTTGGGGAGCCGTTTTTCCCCCTTGGCCAGCCAGCCTTTGAGGGGGCACAGGCAGATCTTCATGGGCTCCTCAGAGATCCTTGAGACAGAGGCTGGAACCCTCCCAGCCCCACTGACAAGCCTCGGTCAGAGGAGACGGGAGGCCGGAGTGCAGCTTCTGCGGTCACGTCCAGGGATCCAGGGCGGGCTGGGCGTCGCCCTCTCACTCCTGCTTTCCAATGGCAAAATCAAGGCTTAATTTTTTTTTTTTTCTTTTTGAAATGAAGTTTTGTCCTTGCCCAGGCTGGAATGCAGTGGCATGATCTTGGCTCACTGCAGCCCCCACCTCCCAGGTTCGAGTGATTGTCCTGCCTCAGCCTCGCGAGTAGCTGAGATTAGTGATTTTAGTAGAGACCAGGTTTCACCACATTGGTCAGGCTTGAACTCCTGACCTCAGGTGATCCACCCACTGAGGCTTAAAATTCTTCAGGAGGTGGGAAGCAGGTGGGTTGGCTCTAAAGGGTAGGAGGAGTAGTCTTTTTGAGCATTCTGTGTCTTGAGTGAATCCATGCCAGTTTTCCAGTGGCGATGGTTTCATGGACATTACGGTGAGGACCCTAGGCAGAAGTTGTATGGATCACTCTTATCCCTTACAACTGCATAAGCCTAGTTAACTTAAAGTGGTTAATTTTTAGAAAAATCCAGTGGATATGCAATAATCTTGCATGTTCTTCACATGTACCCCAAAACCTAAAATGCAATAAAAAAGAAAAAGAAAAAAGAAAAATCGGGTGGTTTAAAAAACCCTTCAGTCATTCATGTCCTCAGGTCTGACAAGTGGGAGTCAACAGGCTCCAACCCAGGGGTGTCTGACTCCAGAGCCAGGCTCCCCGGCATCCCCAGCGAAGCGCCCCCTCCTGCTGTGAGCCGCCCATGCCGGGGAACCCCGCCCCCCATGTAGGGGCTGGAAAAAGGCTGCTGAAAATACTGCTGGAGAAGGTCTGCTCCGCTGCAAGACCCCATCGTCAGGGGCTCTGGGAAGTGGACAAGATTCTAACCAGGACTTGCTCTCTCTCCTTCCACAGAGCGATCAGGACGCCACGGCTCCGCCTGAAGCGATGGCCCAGCCCTACCCCCCTGCCCAGTACCCCCCTCCGCCACAGAACGGCATCCCTGCCGAGTACGCTCCTCCCCCACCGCACCCCACGCAGGACTACTCCGGCCAGACCCCGGTCCCCCCAGAGCATGGCATGACCCTGTACACACCAGCACAGACCCACCCTGAGCAGCCAGGCTCCGAGGCCAGCACACAGCCCATCGCCGGGACCCAGACAGTGCCGGTAAGGGCCCCCACGACCCAGGCCCAGACCTGGAACTTCAGGGAACAGCACCCATCCAGAAGTAGGGAGGAGGGCCCGAGGTGTCAGCTGGGTGGGGGGCCTGCTCGGGGGCTCCTGGGCCCCAGGCTGTGTCTGCAGTGGAGCACAACAGGAGCAGGACCAGGAGCGCAAGAGGCCTGCCCTCTGTGTGTAGACGGCAGGGCTTTTACAGGGTTCCTGGGCCAGAAGTCGTCATCCCCGGCAAAGGTGCTCCCAGCCCTGCTGGACCCCCAGCACCAAGGAGCTTTGTGATGAGCAGGCATCTGGCGGGACGGCCGGGCACCGAGGGGTTGGGTGGCAGCCGCCCTCCTCCAGCTGCCGGGGCCTGGCTTCGCTGCTTTGAGCAAGCTCTCACCCCAGCTGGGGAGGTGTCCTCGCTGCCAGAGACCTGTTAGCGGAAAGTGAAGGAGACGGGCGGAGGGCAGAGGCAGAGCCTCGGAGGCCACCCAGGGCCCTCCGAGCGTTCTCAGGTGGCAGGCCCTCCTATCATTTCTAATCACTTGTAATCTACCTGCTTGGCTGGCCTCCAATCAGATAGCTTCAATTATGTGGTTGTAACGTAGCTCCCAGGCGAAAGTGCTGAGCCCTCACTTCTCAGATTTCCTGAGAGCAAAGAGAGCCGGCAGGGCGTGGCCAAGCGGCAGGCCTGGGGTGGGCTCCGGGTACAAAAACCCAGGCCCTGCCTCCACCCACTCCGCAGAGCCCCTGCCAGCCTCTTCCATTTCTCTGGTCCCCTCCACTGAGATCCCCATGTGCCTCCCCTGCCCCTGCTCTGGGGCTCCAGGTTCATCTCACCGTCCCTGCTGGCCCCGTCCCAGCTGCTGGCCCCGTCCCAGCTGCTGGCTGTGCTAGCTGGTGGGGCTGGGCAGGAAGCCAGAGCTCTCTGCACTGCCTGGGAGTGGTACCGCCCTGGCGGCTCCCAATGGTGGTCCCCTCCCAACTGTTCCCTCAGCCTCCTGCAGTCCAGCCTGGCTCCCAACATGCTTCGTGGGTCCAGATAGGAGCCTTCCCTCGGTGCATGCACGGGCAGAGGCTTCCTCCAGCGTCACCCAGGCCCTCTGCAGAAGAGGCCCCCCAGCCGCCTCCTAGGCTGGACCTGACCCTCACCTGGCACCCAGCCGGTGCCCTTCCTCCCTGCTTGGAGCCCTGCCCAGCCTGAGTCGGCCCCGAGGCCATCAGCCTTTCCAGCTCCCCAGCATCCTGAATGTCTCCCTAGGGTTCCTACAGCCACAGGCCACACATGGAAATGGCCAGGCCCTAGGGTGGTAGAAGCGGGGGCCAAGCCATACTTCCCCAGCTGCCCTGGTTCTGTTTATCAAACCGACACCTTGTGTGTGCTTAGAAAAGAAGGAGATGATCCCAAGAGCCAGGGTGGGTTCAGCGTAAACGAGCGCGTCTGGAGCAGGCGGGGTCTCTTTCTCACGGACTCCGATAGACACAGCTCGTCTGCTCGTATCTCTGACCTTAGGGACCAATGAGGTGTCTCTCATGTTGAGACCCAGGGGTTTGTCCCGGGAGAAAGCCGGAAGCAGGAGGGTCAGATGCACAGGTAACAGAGTGGGGATGGACCTAGCACTCGAACTGAGCAACAGAACCGAGAACAGACGCCTCCTGGATGCCTGGGCCCCCAGACACAGCCTACCGGGACACATGTAAAGTCTTCCTTCACTCAGCAGACGTTTGCCAGGCACCTGCTATGTGCCAGGCACTGAACTGGCACCGAGGATACAGAGGAGAAGGACCCAGCCCTGTCCCCCGGTTCCTGCCATGCACGGATGGGAAAGTCAGAAGGGAGGCTGTCTTGGGCCTGGCTCGCCCATGAGAGTCCACGGACCGTGGACAGAATCCGAGGGAGCAGCAGCTGCTGCAAAGGCGAACGCTGCATCCCGACGAAGTGCTCCCCGACTAGGAGGATGGGAGTCCCGCTGCTCAGCCGCCAGCCTCCGGAGCCTCCCAGGGAGCGTGCCCGGGCGGGGAGCACCCAGAGCCCGGGGGGACAGACGGCCGGCTTTGACCTTCCTTTCTTCAGGCTAGGGTCTCTCAGGTCTGGCAGAGTTCAGGGTCATGGTCTGCAGATCTTTCATCCAGGGACTCAGAGGCGAGAGTCATTCTCCATGACCTGCACCCAGGCCGCCTCGGCGTGGTGCCCAATGAAGAATGAAGACGTGGGCAGCCTCAGCGGCCGTGCGCCCTCCACCCTTGGAGTGTTTGTTCAAGTAGAGCCTTCCTACCTTGGAAGGCAGCTGGAGAGTGTGTTTTAGATTCCAGGAGCCGCTTCCTCCTGGAGGCTGCCCGGCACTCGAAACTGAAGGCCAAACACTTCTGTGCGGGCTCTGGTGTCCCCAGGCCCTGTCCTGTGGTCTCAGCAGGGCCTGTTCAGCTCACTCCAGCCTCCCCTTGGCCCTGCCCCAAGCAGACTGGTATTGGGGTCTAGAGCTTCAGGATAGGAAGTGGGGTGAGCTCGGAGCTTTGATCCAGACCAGCCTAAGTCAGAGTCTCCCTGAGCTCCTGGGGCACTCAAGGGCCCATGCAGCCACCAAGTGCCCTGGTCTCTTCTTTCCCCACCATCCACAAAGCGCCACCCAAGGAATCCCCCCCCCAAGAGCCTGCTGCCCAGGTTGGCACCAGGTCAGGGCTTGCAACCCCCAGACACTCCCTGGACCCAGACGCCGCCCAGGCCACCGGAGCTTCCTGCCCTCTCCCCCAGGAGGACTTCCTTCTGCTGGCGCACATGAGCTGCCCTGGCAGGAGGTGTGGCCCTGGCCAATGCAAAGGGGAAACTCGGGATGCCTGTCCAGCCCCCATATCACCCGCCCTCCTGGTAGCTGTGGCAGAGCTGGCCACTAGACAGCAGGCTCCTGTCCGGGTCCAGGGCCCCCACAGGCACCCCGTTGCATCTAGGACCTGCGGCTGATGGCGTCTGGGAGAGGGCAGTGCCCCGTGCCCCCATTCCCCGAGCCTCTGCCTCCCTGTCTCCTCCACCCCAGGGCCCTCAGGCACTTTGGGCCCTAGCCCGGGAAAGGCTTTCCTGGAATTTCTGAAACCACGAGGCCTCTCCCTGCTGCTCCCGCCCTCTGGAGGGTTTCCCGCCAGGAATCAGTGGGAAGTCCATGTTCAGCCAACTCGGGGCCTTTCATGACACCGCCACCACCCAGGTGGGATGCACCCCCAACCCCGAGTCACAGGGGCACAGCTGACCCTGCAGAGAGAAACAGGGTTCCTGGGAGCCACTGGACCCTCACCGACACTGAGACTTCTACAGAAGGCAGAGCACCTGCTGATTGGTGTAGCCTCAACGTCCTCGGGTGAGTCCCGACCACCTCCAGTGGCTTTCTAGCTGCGTCATTCCCCGGGAAGCCTCCTCCCCTCTGAGCAGGACACCTCTTTCCACCATCCGGAAATATGGAGGCTCCTTCCTAGTGGGGCAGGGGCGTCTCTCCTCTTCCATGATGGGAAGGGAAATGCAACAAGAACCACCCGCATCCGAATGCAGGCTCTACTGCTCTCACCTCTCACCACGAAGTCACCTGCCTTCTCTGGACAAAAGCAGCACAGGGTATGGAGTACGATAAGGGGCTCCAGAAGGACCAGGGACCCCATCTCACTACCCTGAGCCACCCCAGGGTCTGTGTTCCCTGGCGGGGGTCACCATCTGGAGCAGTTACTTATTCACTCAGGGTCACGGACGTGCCAGCACTGTGGGCCCTTGGGGGTCACACCCTGTTTTTATGCCCAAGTGACCCTCATTTTGCTAAGAGACTAGCATGGGCCAGACACACTGGCTCACGCTCGTAATCCCAGCACTTTGGAAGGCCAAGGTGAGCGGATCACTTGAAGTCAGGAGTTGGAGACTAGCCTGACCAACATGGTGGAACCCATGTCTACAGAAATACAAAAATTATCCAGGCGTGGTGATCTGCACCTATAATTCCAGCTGCTCGGGAGGCTGAGGCAAGAGAATGGCATGAACCCAGGAGGTGGAGGTTGCAGTGAGCTGAGATTGCACCGCTGCACTCCAGCCTGGGCAACAAAGTGAGACTCCGAGGAAAAAGAGAGGGAGAGATTAGCATATGGATAGAAAATGCCAGACAACTGGACTCACACCTATAATCCCAGCATGGAGGCTGAGGCAGGCGGATCACCTGAGGTCGGGAGTTCAAGACCAGCCTGACCCACATGGAGAAACCCTGTCTCTACTAAAAATAGAAAATTAGTCGGACGTGATGGTGCACGCCTGTAATCCCAGCTGCTAGGGAGGCTGAGGCAGGAGAATCACTTGAACCCGGGAGGCGGAGGTTGTGGTGAGCCGAGATTGTACCATTGTACTCCAGCCCGTGGCAAGAGGGAAACTCCATCTTGAAAAAGAAAATGCCAGACAAAGCAAGAGGGTCACTGTGGAGACTCAGCCTGGAAAGGGAGACGGGATGAGACCAGTGTTTTCCAGAGCCCACGTGGGCTCCTCCATCTGCCAGAGGGGAACTCCCTCGGGTCGGAAGGGCCTGATGCCTGAGGGGCCAGTTCCTGCCCCACTGCCCACTGGGGATCTGGGCTCTGCACCTCTGGCTTCACTCACTCAGGTCCCCGGAGGCCTCTCTGCCTGGTGACCTGCAGCCCCAGGATGAACCTCTGTCCTCTCTGCCATCCGTCGGGCCTGAGCCTCCTCTCGGAAGCTCCCACGCTTTCCCCGATCTTCCGCTTGGGCCACGTCATCTGTAACTGCTGCCTCACCGTCCTGCTCAAGGCCCTCTCTCCTCCGCCAGGAGCCGCAGCCCTCAGTCACTGTGATCTTGGCTCTCGGCTTATGGAAGGGGTGAGGGGGGGGCCGTGGCTGGCGGCTGACGTGAGAAAGGCAGAAGAGAGGAGGCTTTGGTCGCCAAAGCCGCACCACAGTGAGGCTCAGCTTTGAAGCCCCTACCCAGGCAAGGGTTGGGAGCGGACGAGGAGGCAGTCGGCTGCCCATGCCACAAGTACAGAGGCCAGCAGCGGGGCTCAGAATCCTGTGTCCTTCAAATGCCACGTGGGAGCCCATCGTTCCACCTGAGGAGGGGCTGAAGAAGACACCCCAGTAGATGGCTTGAGACCACACATGGAGAACCCCTCCTCCAAGGGTGACTGGCCGCCCACCGGAGGCTCACCAAATCAGGTCCTTGCCTGAGTGCCCAGGAGGTCTCTGGAGGAATGAGAAGAGACGGCGCTACAGTGGAAGGGATTTCCAAACGCTGGTTCATCTTGGGCCACGCCACACCGCTTGGCTCCATGCCAACACAGCCACCAGGTCCCACCTGCTGTGCAGGGTCTGCCTGTGCCCACCAGCCCCCGCCGAGAGCTCATTCCCTTTGCCTTTCACTGTGCCAAGCTTGGGGGCCCAGGCGAAAGTGGGTGCAGGCTCCTCAGGATATGGAGAGTGAGAGATACTTGTGGCATCTAGACCCCCACCGTGAACTTGAATGGGCTGGGGGGACATCCATAATGATTGGGCCAGGACAGAGCTGGGAAGGATGCAGAATCAGGACCTCCAGGCCAGCGGGGAGGGAAGATGTTTTCTCTTTCCCTGCATTTGAGAACCAGAGGCAAAGATGGCTTTAAAAAAAAAAAAAGTGGGGAAAGGAAAGCCCCCGAGAAAGGTTGGAAAGCGGCGGAGGCTGCTGGACTGCTGGCATCTGTGGGAGGAGAGCCCCGGCCCGGGGCAGCCCTTGTGCACTCATGCTCGGGGCTTCGCACACCAGCCAGTTTCACAGCCATGGGACCCACTTGCCTTCTGCCCAGGGCTGAGCTGGGCAAGCAAGGGCAGAGGGGCTGCTCACTGACCTGTGTCCTGGCCCTACTCATGGCTTCTCCCACTCACACCCCATTACCCCACTCCTCCCACCTCACCCTCGGCTGCTCCCCTGTAAAGCTTTGGGTGGGTGACCCAGCTCCCCTGGGTGGGCGTGGGACAGGTTCCCGCTGACGTGGCCGCCCCAGCATGCTGAGCGCCGCCCTCTGCTGCTCCGAGGCCAGAGCTGTGTGCCCCCAACCAGGCTGGGATGACTCAGTCACCTGTACCCAAGAGCAGCAGAGGGCACGGGGCGAGTCCCCGTCCACCTAGGAGGAAAGAGCCGTGCCTGTCGGACTAGAGGGTGGGTTCAGACCTCCATAAGGATCAGCGGATTCCTGGACAGTCTCACCTTGGTTCGGGGGTGAGGTCGTCCCCTCCAGGGGTCTAGCACGGGCTTGCTTTCTGCAAGAAAGCTTGGGACCAAAGCAGACGGTAGCAGAACTGGGAAGCTGGCTGCTGGGTGTGTCGAGGTCCCCAGGCTTGGATGGAGGAACCCCCCGCATGCCCCTGTGGAGCCAGAGTCAGCTGCCCTGTGTTGCCACTCCTGGGGGCCGGATGCCAGCCAGACCAGGAGCTCCGGACGTCTGTCATCCACCCTCCTGGCCCTGCCAGCTGTGCCCACCACAGATGCCTCCATGCCAAAATCCAGCCCCCACTGATGGGGGTGGCACCTGTCAGGGAACCCTAAGGAGCAACCACCCACCTTCTCCAAGCCCGAAGGCTCCTGTTCTCCAAGAACCATTGCTGCTTTCCGCCTCTTGGGGTCCCAAGAGAGATGGGGGATCCACCCACGCAGGCTCACGCCTTGGGAACACACTTGTCGGAATTGGGTCAGCACAGCACATGGCCAGTCTGCTGAGACGGGGCCCTCAGCGCATGCCCAGGTGAGCACCAGGGCGGTGGTTCCCTGCTGTGAGATACGTGCCACTTCCTCACTTCTCAACGCAGGGGACAGAGCTGCATCAGGGACATGGACACAGCCGCCCCGCAATCCTGCAGCCCTCTGGACCCCACTCCCTGCCTGCCCCACTGCCAGAACTAGGGGCTGTCGCCAGGGAAGAAGCTTCGGTACGGGGGAAGTTGGGCCCTCCACCTCCCTGAGCAGCCCAGGAAGTGGCAACTTCCTTTCTGGTCACCTAGGGGCACCTGCTGCCCTGGAGAGTGGTCAGAGGCCTCCTGGCCACATGCAGAAATGCAGGGGAGTGGCCTGTCCTTCCAGAAAGGATAACCAAGGTGGCTGTGCAAGAGTTAGTGACAGCCGGACAGCCACTCAGACAGGACTCAAGGGACCAAGCTCTGGCCACGTAGCTGTAGTGTGACCTTGGCAAGGCTCTGCTCCTCTGGGCTCCATTTCCTGTGCCACGGGATGAGGCCTCGGGCACTGTGACCCCAGGCTCCCTGCTCAGCGTCCTGACTCAGCACTCCTTGGTTGCCCGCGACAGATGCCAGCCGGAAAGTGGCTTCGGCAGCCAGGTGCTTTGCCTGGCTGGAGATGCGTGGGAATGGCTCTCTGGGGCCTCTCGTCTCGCCTTTTCCCCTCCTGCTCCTGGGCTGGCTGCCTCTGCTCTGCAGGCCACATGGGAGACCAGGCCACCAGCCTTCCATTTGTAGGGCTGCAGTGTAGGCCTCTAAGGGACCCAGCCTTTTCTACCACTGCTCTGGAAAGGATCCGGGTGGCTGGGGCCAAGACCCTCCTACCTTCGACTCGACTGATACCCTGTCTCAGAAGCCAGTTGGCCTCCGAGGAGGGGTCTCCATGTGTGGCTTCCCACTGTCCCCCGGGAGCGTCAGGAAGCCCAGAGCCAAGGATTCAATCGCAAAGGGTGTGTTTGGGGGATGATCTCACAAAACTCATAAGGGGCAGCATGGCATTGAGGCGGGGAGGCGGAGGAAGCCAGTAACAGGTACATGGTCAGCCTGCTGTTCCCGTGGGCAGCGGAGCTCCAGGAGCTGGCGGAAGCGGGGACGCGGAGAGCCCCTCCAGAGCACCCCGTGGGAGCGGGGGCGTGCACCCGTCTGTGCCTGTCCGCAGAGGGCCTCTCCTGCACCCTGGTGCTTCTGTGCCATCCACTGCCTTGCCAGTGGGCCGAGAGGGAAAACGGCCTTCGAGGCTGGCCCCTGCGGTCTGGCTGCACCCACGGGACTGGCCTGTAGAGCACCTCAGGCCTGGGCCCAGGTGGCGGTGAGCCCACGGCCACCCCGGACAGTCACCCGTGCCTCCACCCCGCCGGTGAATGAAGCGCCTGTCGCACACCCGGAGTTCCTGCCCCGTGGATGCAGCTGGGAGCGAGCCCGGCTAAAGGCCAGCCTTGCCGTGAGCTCGTGGCCAGTCCACTTGAAGACCACGCAGGAAGAGCCTCGCACAGGCCGCACTGCACGGCCTCGGGCGGCACCCCCGTCTTCTCCCCGGGAGCTGGGGGCTGGGGGAGCTTTTATTTCCTGAGCCCCAAGTCTTCGGGAGCCCATTTCCCCACCTGTGTTTGGGCCCAGATGGGGACTGGTCATAAAGGACGGACTCGGCCGCCCCCTCCCTTGGGAGACGCTTCTGGAGGTGACCCTTAAAGGTTCTGAGTGGTGGCAGCAGCTGGAATGAGGAGGAGCCTGGCGGGGGCGGAGGGGCAGCACCTGCGGATAGCTGGACCCTCAGGCCCGCTGACATCTTTCTCCGCGCCTCGTCGGCGCTTGAGAGCCAGCGCGGCCCTCGGGCTCCCAGAACTGCCTTGAGTCGTCAGTGGGGCTGAGAGACCTGGGCCGTGGGAGCAGAGAACAGAGCAGGCCAGGAGATCTTGCCCTGGGCCGAGGGAGGGAGGCGGCCTCCCTGGCCTGGTGTGGGCAAAGGCTGGGAGGTGGGGCCTCTCTGTCTGAGGTGCTCTTGTGCGGTGTTTCGTGGGAACCATCTGCCCCGATTCTGCCAAGGATCCCAGCCCAGGGACGGGAGAAGCCCAGAGCGGTGGGGAGAATCTGGCCCTGACACCCTCCACTCCCGTTGGCGGAGGGCATGGGCAGCCCTGCACGCGGGAGGCAGCCTCCACAGCCGTCCCCTCCCTGCAGCAGACAGACGAGGCAGCACAGACGGACAGCCAGCCGCTCCAGCCCTCCGACCCTGCAGAGAAGCGGCAGCCCAAGCGGCTCCACGTCTCCAACATCCCCTTCCGGTTCAGGGACCCCGACTTGCGGCAAATGTTCGGGGTGAGTGTGTGCGGCCCCGCCCATGCTGCCCTCCACACGCGCCCCAGCTCCAGGGTGGTGCCCACGGGCCCTGCCTTACTGCCCACGCTTGCTCCCCGGGCTTCCTGCCTCCCACGGTGCAGGGAGCCTCCCAGGCCCCAGGATGCCTTCCTCCTGAGCGCAGCCCCGCCCTGACCTGAACGTGCTGGGAGGGTGCCAGGATGCCTTCCTCCCGAGCCCAGCCCCGCCCTGACCTGAACGTGCTGGGAGGGTGGCAGGGCAGAGGAAGGCCTCAGGCTGAGGGGTTGGGGAATCTGTTGTTGCTGCCCCTCAAACCCCACCCCTCCTGTACCCGGCTGGAAATCCACCCGTGGCCCCCACACCACCTGACCTCAGGGGTTTAATAGAGTAACTTTGGGCCTGGCACCCAGTTTGGTTATGACTGCCCAGTTCCCACATTCTGGCTTCTCATCGGAGGGTACCTGGAGGGGCAGCTCAGCCTCCCACAGAGCAGCGGCCCCAGCCCTGGCCTGTCCCGTGTGCCTGGAGGCCAGGCATCAACCTCTCCGGGCCTGCGTCCCCCGGGCCCCCAGGTGGGAGCTTGGGAGCGGCGTGCAGTGCATGGGAAGGGAGGCCTCTCCTGGACTCCAGGTGTTCCACCGCAGGCCTCAGCCCGGGCGGGGTCAGTGTGAGAATGTGCAGGGCCGCCCTTGGGTCCTGGGTTACTTGGTTATTGGACTTGAATGCGCCCGGCAGGTGCTGATGCCTGTGGTGCTGGGGCTGCGTTCAAGTGGGGGGTGGGGGGGGTGAGCAGCAGCAGCCAGGCAGCTCAGCCTGGCTCCCGGGCCTGCCCCAGCCACAGAGGACCACGCGGCCTGGCCGGGTTTTCTCCCTCCCTCCAAACTCCCCCTCCGGCCTGCCGCTGCGCCCACCCACCTCTGCTGCACAGGTAGGCAGCCTCTGACTTCTGAATCCCAGCCCCTTTCCTCATGCCACCCTGACCCAACTGGGGTTTGCCAGGCAGACTGGAGGCACCTCAGGCAGCCCCAGGGTGGAGAAGTCCCCCTCCACCTGCCCCCCTGATGTGACCCCCAGAAGTCCACTTCCCATCTCAGGAGCCTGGTTGGATTTGAGGCTTAGACTCACTGGGGGGCTGGCATGACCTAGAATCATCAGATGGTAAGGACTCTGCCCCTTCTCGACCCTGGGTCCTGGGCAGGCAGCCACATTTCTCTGGGCCTGGGGCTGCCCCTTAAGAGCAGCTGACATTTTGGGGCTCTGGCTGGATGCCCTCAGTGGGTGGCATTTTGGGCCCTGGCTGGATGCCCCCTGCAGGGGGCCTGTTTACATACACTCACTCAGTCCCTGCAGGACAGGGGCACCATCCCCCGTCAGCTCCCCGGGTCTCTACAGGACAGGGGCACCATCCCCCGTCAGCTCCCCGGGTCCCTGCAGGACGGGGGTTACTATTTCCCTCTCCAGCACCTGGCAGAGTTGGGATTTCATAGCTGTCTGGTCTCACTGGCCTTGCTGCCCTCCGCGCCTCATGCCTCCAGGGCTGTGTGGAGGTGGCTGGGAAACCCCCATCAGCTGCCTGCACTGTAGGCTTCAGGACAGGCCCTGGGGACCTCAGAGCTGTTGTCCCGGCCAGCCGTCCACAGGCTTGTGGTCTCAGTACCTGTGAGAGAGACAGGGCTGTCCCATGGGGACTGTGGCCAACAACGGGTGGGAAGAAGGCAGCGGAGCATCCTGGCCCCACTGGCCCTCACGTCCTGCACAGGAGGGCCTGGGTCCAGGTCACTGCTGCTCAGCACCCCACGCCAGCACAGCCCCGAGACAGGCTGTGCAGGGTCCCAGGGGCCTGAGCAGGCTCTCCCTCCACCTGCCTCTTCCTCTCATGCCCTCCGCCCCTTTTTGCCCCTGCCCAACCTCCTTCCCATCTCAGGGAGGCCTGAGGGTCTCATTTCCCAACCAGGGGTCCTACTCCCCCGTGGCCTCAACCTCCAGTTCCTGACCCCAGCACTTCCCCTTCTCTGTGGGACTTTGTCCCTTCTGGGGACTCATGTCCCTCCCTCTCCTCCTCCGCTTCCTTTGGAGAAGGATCTCTCAGCAGACCTTTAGTGTGAGTTGGGGGTGGGGGTGGTAATGCCTTGGGTACGCTATCCCCACCGTAGCCCTCTCCAAGTGGCCAAGTCCCGGAAGGGCGAGGAGGGGGTCACTGGTGATATGCCCATCCCCAGCTGGCAGCTGGAGGCAGTGTCCCAGCAGGAAAAGCTCCCCAAGATGGAAGGGAGACATGGGCCTCCAGGAGAGGCTGGGAGAGCCGCCCCTGCCCCCACGCCACACCAAGGACCCTCTGAGTGACGCCTTGAGCCCCCCCTCCCCACCATCACCCTGTCCAACTGGCCAAGTCCCAGCCGCTCCGTGGCCAGAGGTGGAAGGGGGTCCCGGGGCTCCTCTCCCAAGCTGGGAGCCCCGGGCCAAGCACAGGCCGGGCCCGATCTTGACCTTCCTTTCCTGTCTGCCCCGCTCCCTCTCTCTGTCTCTGCAGCAATTCGGAAGAATCTTAGACGTGGAGATCATCTTTAACGAGCGGGGCTCCAAGGTGGGTGCCGCACGGAGCTGCCGCCTTACCGCGCCGGCTGTAGGTCCCGCCAGGCTAACGTGTGAAATGTGCGTTTCCTTCCTGGAGAGCTTCACGCCCGAGGACCCCTGAGCGACACGGGTGCTTGTATTCCCCGCTCTTCCACCCCGCCCCACCCCACCCCAGCTGTCTGTGTCGTTGCTGCCGCTGCTGCTTTTTCTTTCTGAGCCACCAGGACCTCTTGCCTGCACCCCAGAGCCCTGGGCCCCTGCGCCCGGGTCCCACCCCACTAACTGCTCACCCCAGGGGACCACTGGCCTTGAGGCTTGAGGGAGGGGCTACAGAGAGGGCCCGCTGGGGAGGGTGGCCAGCGGAGACAAGCCCTGCTCCCCTTCCGGGAAGGCACGACCCTCCACCCTGGGCTCTGAGGGTGGAGGCGGGTGGGCTGCCCCTGCAGGTCCTGAAGCCCAGCCTGGGCCCCCCACCCCGAGGTGGGGTTCAGGGGGCAGGCCTGGCCCGTGGTCAGGTAGCGTCTCTTACGTGGCTTTGGCCTGACCCTTTGGAGATGCCAGGCGGTCCGCTCAGGCTGGGCTCAGGCCAGGCCAGCAGCTGCCCTCCCGGGGCCCGTACCCCTCCTGGCATCCTGCCGGTGGCCCCACGACAGACCTCTGGGCTGCCTGCGTCTCTGCCTCAACTCACCTGACTCAACCCCCTCTCTCTCTCTCTCTCTCCCCCCCTCCCCCTGGTCCCCACCCACTCCTCCTCTTCCGCCTCTTCCTCTCCCTGTGTCCTCCTCTCCGTGCCTGTCCTTCCCTCTCCTCTGCTCACAGGGTTTTGGGTTTGTAACTTTTGAAACTAGCTCAGATGCTGACCGAGCCCGGGAGAAGCTGAATGGGACGATCGTAGAGGGACGGAAAATTGAGGTGCTCAGATAAGTGTGCTGCGGCAGGGATGCCCCGAGATCGCCCACCTCCCCCACTCCCCCAGCCGACCACCCCGCCACTGCCGCGCCCTTCGCAGAGCCTGGCCAGGGTCCCCTGGGGCGGGAGGAGGGGCACACTAGGCCAGGGTCACTGGTGCCTGCTGAGCCCTGTCACCTGTCACCCCTTCAGGCTCACCGAGGTGCCCTTTTCCCTGCCTCTTCCCTCCTTTTTCTGGGAGATGCCCTGTCCCCAACCAGACACTGGAGGAGCCCCAGAAATCCTGTATTTGGGGCTCAGCAGCTTCGAGGACCATGGCCAGCCCACCCTGCCAAGGAGGCATTAATCCCCAGACCCTGCCCACCGTGGAGCGGCGGCTCTCCCCAGCCCATCCCCACGTGGCCCGGCCCGGGCCCTGCAGCTGGCCCAACCTGGGCCCCACTCCACCCCTCGTTTGGGTAGAAGCAGAGTCGGCATCGGCAATGGCCAGGGCAGAGGAAGGGACCCGGCCCCGAGGAGGAGCAGGGAGAGGGGCGCTGGGTCCCTCCCTGACACCCACCCCGCTCTGTCCCCTTCTTCCGCGCTCCCTGGAGGCCCAGAGTGCCAATGGGCTGTGTTCCCTTGCTGCGGCCTGGGTGTCCGGAGCTGGGTCCCCCAGTAGGCAGGGCAGCCAGAGGGTGGCTGGAGGAGGGCCGGGCCAGGCACCAAGGCAGAGCCCTCGGGCAGGCGGTGAAGGCCTGAGAGGAGGTTTCCAGACCAGACAGCGCTAGCTCAGCCAGGCTGCAGCCCCATGCCCTCAGGGCTCACACTGAGGATGTAGGGGAGGCAGAAGAGCCCGGACCCCTTCCTGGGGCCCATCACCTTTGCTATTCTGAACTCCCTTCCACACACGCCCCATCCTCTCCATCCCAGGCTGCCCCAGACAGCCTCACCGGGGCTTATGTGTGGAAAACAGGTGGCTTGTGTGCCCAGAGCCCCCTCCCTGGCAGTCTCGTCCTCCTGGGGCACTCAGGCCCCATGGCAGAGCTCTGTGTTCTGCAGCATTGAGGACTCTGGCCTCGGGGGAGGGTGCATCATCCAGGAGGGGCATGTAGCCATCTTGGTTCCCGTGACTAGGTGGGCCTTGGCATCCTCAGGGAGCAGAGGGCATCCCGGAGGCCAGCCTCTTAGCTGGTTCTGGTCAGAGAGCACTTTATGGAGAGTCCACCAGGGAGCTTCTCCCGCCATCCCAGGGTGCCTGGGAGCCTGGGGCTGGGTTTATGGGAATAGCCGTGTGAGGAACACAGGCCAGCAGGCCTGGGTCTGGGGTCCTGGGCCAGGCGGGGCTTTAGCCCGTGCTGGGAGCAGTGGGGACCAAGGCTCTGGATGGCAGGCAGCAGGAGGCTAATCCGCCCTCTCCGTCTCTCTTCCATCTCTGGACAGGTCAATAATGCCACGGCCCGAGTTATGACCAATAAGAAGACGGGGAACCCCTACACCAACGGTAAGGGGCAGGAGGCTGCCGGGATCACTGGGCAGGACGGAGGCCCTGGGGGAGCTGAGGCTGCGGTGGGCTGACCTTCCTGGATTCTAGGCAGCCGCCACCCCCAGTGGCCAAGCTCCCGGGCTGCCGCTTTGCCCCGTCGGAAGTGGGTGGGGCGGAGAAGGCAGAAGGGAGAGCTGGGGGCCACCCACCCCGCTGCTGGCCCCATACAATCAGCCATACCTGGAGTCTTGTGTGGCCCCGGAGGCCTCACACGCCGGCATCTGGTACAGTGGGACAGCATGACCTTCCTGGATTAGGACTTCCTTCCTCCCAGGACCCTGAGTTCGAAGGCCCCCGTGCTGAAACCTGCTGTACCGATTCACAGTTGTAGGCAGGCTCAGGGAGGGCAGCGGGGGCACGGGAGGCCTTGGCTGTGCTTCTAGACCCGAGTTCCAGTTTCTTCATCTGCAAGACAGGAAGAGTGACACCACCCCCTAGAGCGGTTCAACAACACGTGATATCTCTAAGCGCCATGAGCAAGGGCCCAGTGAGGAGGTGCTCAGATTGTGTGGGATGTGATCACACAACTGCCTTCCTGGGGCTTTGTGAGGTGGGTGGGGGCACCGAGACCCCAGGCTGAGCCCTGCTGTCCACAGCATGCGTGGGTAAACTGAGGAATCCTGCGTGTGCACACCACACTGCAAACGGAGGTGGCCAGTCTTCCTTGGAGACGGATCTGCCGATGCTACATGCTGGCTCTGGAGAGGTAGAGGGACCGCTGGTGGCCGCTGCAAATCTCTCCATCAGGCGAGGGGCCTGCTTTGAGTGGAGCAGGTGTGCGCTGGGGCCTTCTCTCATTCTTGACAGCAAGCAGCTTCCCACTCGGACCCCTGAAAAGCCTCAGCACTGCTCCTAGACAGGATGGATCTCCCTGCCAGCATGGACTCTCAGACTGCTCACTCCCGGCCTCTCATGGCCCCGTGTGATAGGCCACACGTGGAGTCAGGTGGGGACCAGCACAGAAGCCTGGACGGGACCGCCGGATGCACCATCTCTCTCCCCAGCTCTTCTCCTGGTGTCTGGTGCTGGCGTGGGACCGGGACTCTGGCCTGGCCCAAATTAGACTTGATTCTCCCGGCCTCATACCCTGCTTTTCTGAGGACTTACACATCTCAAGTGCTTTTTAAAAACTTGGGAATGCAGGCCAGGTGCCGTGGCTCATGCCTGTAATCCCAGCACTTTGGGAGGCCAAGGCAAATGGATCACCTGAGGTCGGGAATTTGAGACCAGCCTGACCAACATCGTGAAACCCCGTCTCTACTAAAAATATAAAAGGTAGCCAGGCATGGTGGCACATGCCCATAATCCCAGCTACTCAGGAGGTAGAGACAGGATTGCTTGAATTCGGGAGGCGGAGGCTGCAATGAACTGAGATCGTGCCATTGTACTCCAGCTTGGGCAACAGAGCGAGACTCCCATCTCAAAAAAAAAAAAAAAAAATGAGCGAGCTCCCGCTTTGAAAGCATCCCGAGTGCTTCCTAGGTGTGACTCTTCTGTGATCTGGCACTTGGCACAGGAGGTAAAAGCAGTAGACATTTTTACTGGATACAGGTGATCAACCAGCAGGGCTGCAAAATCTCTGGAACCAGCTGCCCACTCTGCACCCAAGAGCCACACCTACCGCTATCTGGGCAGAAATGATAATTCAGGGAAGCACGGACTTCAGAACTGACCCATCCCTGAGGCCTTGGGCTGTGCGGCTCATGAGAGGCACGGAACCAACGCCAGGGGGACATCAGGGAACGGAGGGAGTTGGCAACCTCTGCCCACCGTTGCAGCAAGAAGCGTTTCATCTCAATGTCTTCGTCAGCCTGGGCACGGAGGCCTGCAGTGGGATGGCCCTGGGTTCTCCGTAGGTTGTCACCAAAGCCAGCCCATGGGCTCTGGTGGCCTGAGTGCAGCGTGACTTGGCTTCAGCACTCTAAAGCTCGTCAGTTGGGGGCAGAGGTTTCCACTGTAGAAAACAGACTCACCAGGCTTGCCCAGGTGTTAACTATGTATGTTAGAAACGGAGGCCGTCCAGGTAAGTCTCAGGCTGCCTCTGCCATCTGGGGTCCAGACACTGAAACGGAGCCAGCAGAGACAGGTGGAGGCCCCAGAAAGCTAGAATTGGCAGGTGAGGGCACCCAGGAAGCCAGAAGGAACAGGTCAAGGTGCCCAGGGCCATGTGAGGCAGACATAGAGCCTCAAGTGCCACTCACCCAGAGTGGACCCAGAAGAGCCACTGGATGGAGCCTGGGGGAGCCTGGGCTTGGGGTTCAGGGTCTCCAGGACTCTGTTCCATCCTGGACCTTCTAGTAAGAAGAGTCAGCTCTTGGGGCTGGAGGTTTTCCCGTAAAACAAAACGTTTCTTTCAGCCTGAAGTGGTGGCTCACACCTGTAATCCCAGCACTTGGGTGGTTACGGTGGCAGGATCCCTTGAGCCCAGGACTTCAAAACCAGCCTCAACAACATAGGGAGACCCTGTCTCTACAGATAATGTTTTTAATTAGCTGGGAGTGTGGTGGCAGCCACCTATGGCTCCAGCTACTCGGGAGGCTGAGGTAGGAGGATCGCTTGAGCCCAGGAAGTCGAGGCTGCAGTGAGCAGTGATTATCCACTGCCCTCCAGCCTGGGCAACAAAGCAAGACCCTGTCCCCCACTCCGCCCCAGAGGAAAAAAAAAAAAAAAAGTTTCTTCCCTCCTGAAGATTCCAAAGTCCCAACAGTGATGTCCAGACACAAGGTCATGTGTTGGTGGCCGGGGATGCAGGGTGGGGTGAAGAGTTGACCTGAGGGAGGAACAGACCTCGCTGCTCCGCCCTCACTGCCTCCGGTCTGCCTGTCCTGCAGTGGGGTTGGTGGAATCAGTCAGAGGCTCACACGTGGCCTGGGGCCATCGCCACCCTCTCCAGATAGATCTCCCCAGCTAATTAGTGGGCTCCGGTCCCTGCTGTTCCTCCCCACCCGGTGCAAAGGGACAAGGAGCTGGGCTCACAGGGCACACTGCAAAGATAAGACCTGGGTCCACTGAGGAGGGGTGAGGCATGGGACTCACAAGAAGCCCTCCTGCTTAGCCTGTCAGAATGCCTGGAGCCCGAACCGCTCCAAGGCAGCTGGTTTCCCCCGCAGAGGCCACCAGGTGGAGCAGGCCTTAGCCCTGCTCCTGGGTCCCCCATGGGAGAGGAAGACCAGCCTACCTGCAGGAAGGGAGAGGCTGGGATGTAGATGACAGCCTGGGACCCAGCGCGTGGCCAGGAACATGGGTCTGGCTGGGGGCTGCAGGCTGGGATCCCTGGCTCTGCCACTCCCCGGCTGGTGACGGGAGGTTGCTGTGCCTCGCCAGGCCTCTGTTTCTTCATCTGCAAAATGGGGAGGGTGTGATGGCTCATTGGGCGGTGAGGACCCAGTGGGTTTCAGACAGTCCATGTGGTTCACACAGAGCATTGAGGAAAAGCAGCCATTCTCTTATCCTCAGTGCAAACGCCCTTTCCTCCTCCACCTGCTTCCCACGCCACCCTCCCAGACAGCTGCTCAGGGGAAAGATGAGGATGGGAGGAAAGGGAGAGCCGGACCCAGCACTGGCGGGAGGGGAGTGGGGAGAGGCTGTGGGCAGAGGCCAAGGCCTTTCCTGCAGCGTCTGGCCACCGGAGCTCGGAGGGTGGGGCGGTGCTGAGTCTGACTCCAGAAACCCTCATTCCAGCTTTGGACGCGGGCAGGTAGATGACAAGTTCCACTTCCCGTCCCCAGTTCTCTTCTGGGAGGTGGGTACCCCAGGCTTCTGGGGATGATGCCAAGGGCTGAGGCTAGCTCAGGGGCAGGCTGGGGAGGACCACAATTTGGAAAGAATCCTAACAGAGCCTCAGGCGGAAGGAACCAGCAGGCCCTGGTGTTTTGAACCCAGCACTTGTTGGGTCTGGGTGGGAAGAGGGCCTGGCACAGGGGGTGTTCCCAAGGGCTCCACTGGTGTCGCTGGGGTGCCCAGGCATAGGTTTTGGTGGGAAAAGGGTCGGAAGGCAGTGACTAGTCTCTGTGCTTCTGTTTTAGGCTGGAAGCTAAATCCAGTGGTCGGCGCAGTCTATGGGCCTGAATTCTATGCAGGTAAAGGCTGGGGCGGGGCCGGAACGGGATGACACCAGCCAATTGGCCCCGTGGGGCTCCAGGGGCTCCAGGGCCCCGACGGGCGGGGCCAGGGGGCCCCCCGCCGTGCCTCTCACACGTGTCTCGGGCCCCCTTTCCTGCAGTGACGGGTTTCCCCTACCCCACCACCGGCACAGCCGTTGCCTACCGGGGCGCACATCTTCGGGGCCGGGGCCGGGCTGTGTATAATACGTTTCGGGCTGCGCCGCCCCCGCCCCCCATCCCGACTTACGGAGCGTGAGTACCTGGGCCAGCTGGAGAGGCGTGGAGGGCGGGGAGGAGGGAGCTGGGGCGGCCCTGCACAGTGCGAGGGGCTGGGCAGCCTTTCCAGACCTGGGGAGGAGGGGTCATGGGAGCCCCCAGAACGCAGCCCTGCAACTGCCTCCATTACCGTCACCCCCAGGCCCATCACGGCAGGCATTGCCAAGGTCCCTGGCATTTACGGGGACTTTCAGAGCCCCAGAACCTTGTCCGGATGCTTTAATGGGGGTGTTGTCCACCCTTGAGTTGAGCGAGGGGCTTCTCTGAGCCCTCTCAGTCCCATTCCCTGGGGTCTGGTGCCCTCCACCACCGAAAGGGAGGGCACAGCTGCCTGGGGTCGGGTGGGCCATGGGCCCCGGGGTTTGTGGGAGAAAGGAGCTGATCAGCAAGGGTGTTACTCTATTGTTATACCAAAACAGGGCACTGGAGCAAACGCTTGTTAAAATGCCAGTCCCATGGGCGGGGCTGGCACCGTGCCCCCTCCCTCCTCAGCAGACACCGGAGCCGGCCTACCCCACCTCTCCAGCGTTCCCACCACTTTCTTGTCCGTTTGCTTCCAGGGTCGTGTATCAGGATGGATTTTATGGTGCTGAGATTTATGTAAGTGCAGCCCCGAGGGGAGGGGTGGGTGGGGTCAGGCCTTCTGTTTGTCTCAGTGAGAAGTCAGCATCTCCCCGCTCCTCCCATCTCACCCCACCCTTGAAGCCGCGAGGGCGTGGGCGCCATGTCTGCCCAGAGCATGGCGTTCCTGGGAACCCCAGCACAGCGCAGTCTGGTGGCCTGTGTCCATCAATGGAGCAGTTAATGGGTCTCCCAGCAGCCCTGTAAGCTGAAGGCATCTTCCCATTGGCAAGGGTTCATATGATGGGGGTAGTGGAACTCTGCCACGTCCCTGTGGTCAGGGAGTGAGCCCCCTAAAGGACCCATGTCCAGGACGGGCTTTGAGAGGGGCCGGGAGGCAGGGCCCCTGCGTGCCTGTGCTGTGGTCTTAGCCACCTTGATGGAAGTCTGTTAGCCTCTCTCCTCCTTCATGGGGCAGCACCTGCTGCTGCTTCTGGCTCAGATTCACCAACGGTCCCACCCCTTGTACCCAGTCACCCTTCAGTCCTGGGCAGTTACCTGCTCATCTGAGGCCGGGACAGAGCTCACATCCTGTTCTTCCCTTTGCCCTTGACCCTTCCTGGCGTCCAGGACGCCATCCAGGGCACTGTGGGTTCTCCCAGCCCCTCAGCATCCAAGTCAGGCCTCACTGGCCTGGTGGCAGGTCTGTGGGCCCCTCTTCTGTGCCAAGGCCTAGCACGCAGCCAGATGGGTTATCGGTGCCTGCTAGTGTGTTGGAGTGCACAGATGGGTGTGTGAATGAATGAGTGAATGAATGGAAGGCAGACCTGCCTCGCCCCGCACTGCACCACCTGGCCACCTGCAGTCCTCAGATCGGCGTTAGGGAGCAAGGGGCCCAGGCCAAGCACCACCTGCCCGCTCCCTGGCCGAGGCTGGGAGGCTGGAAGGTCTGCATCCCTCCCAGGCCCTACCCGCATAGGGTCTGACTCTGGCCCCACTCACCCCTTCCCTGGGGAGCCTCACTAAGCCCCTCTGCTGTCTCTCCTCCCACTTACCCTGCAGGGAGGCTATGCAGCCTACAGATATGCTCAGCCCGCTGCAGCGGCAGCAGCCTACAGCGACAGGTAAGGCCAGGGGCCAGAGCGGGGTGGGCAAAAGATGGACAAGGATCCCTTGTGGGGCTGGGCCCAGACAGGCAGGAGGTGTAACCCACCTTTCTGGGGCCGGTGGGGGCAGGGTCAGGACGGGAGCAGGGCTGAGTGTGGCCCTCGAGCCAGTGAGCTCCTGACTTCAGTCACTTCCTGCTTGTCCCATGGGGAGGCTGTGGAAACTCCAGGTAGCAGACAGCATCTCTGAATTCCTAGCCCCCGCCCCCACGCCCACCATGGCTGTCTCGGGGGCAGATGCTTGAGTGCTTCCTCCCTGGGCAGCTTAGCCTAGTGCCTTTCCCCTTGGGCTTCTGGCCTGTTGGCTGCTGCGCTCCACCGCTCTGGCCTGGGGACTGCTTGCAACCCCTCCCTCCCAGCAGTCACTGGCTCCATCTCCGTGTCAAGTCTGTGTGTGTACAGGGCGCCATGGCCCAGCCCTGTCCTCTAAGGAGCTGAGTTCCCTGCACAGACGAACTGGCGAAAGGAAAGTTGTGTGGGACCAGTGTCATGTTCTTGAGGGCAGCATCCTTGGTCCCTCCCACTGGCCATCCCTCTCTTCTCTCTTTTTTTTTTTTTTTTTTTTTTTGAGATGGAGTTTCGCTCTTGTTACCCAGGCTGGAGTGCAATGGCGTGATCTCGGCTCACCGCAACCTCCGCCTCCTGGGTTCAGGCAGTTCTGCCTCAGCCTCCTGAGTAGCTGGGATTACAGGCACGTGCCGCCATGCCCAGCTAATTTTTTGTATTTTTAGTAGAGACGGGGTTTCACCATGTTGACCAGGATGGTCTCGATCCACCCGCCTCGTGGATCGAGGTGGACCTTGTGATCCACCCGCCTCAGCCTCCCAAAGTGCTGGGATTACAGGCTTGAGCCACCGCGCCCAGCCTCCCTCTCTTCTCTTGAAACCCTCCCCAGCATTCACCCCGTTCTTTTTGGGGGTGGAAGTTTGCTTGCGCTGCAGGCAAGCTCTGTGAGGACGCTTCTCCCCCACACCCCTTCCACGCAGCACTGAGTAAAGCACACTTCCCCACCCCCCCGCCGTCAGGGTCAGCACTCAGTGGGCATATTGAGAGTATAGCCTATTGTGTTCCAGAAGCTTCCTTCTCAACAAGAAAGAAGGGTAGGCCTTGCAGGAGGGAGGGTGCCTTGCAGATGGGGCCTGGCTGGAGGGTTCCCGTGCAGTGTCTGGAAGGAGGTGGCAGGCCATTGCTGCCGGTCACCGTGCCGCTCCCACACCCTCTCCATGCTCTTCCCCAGTTACGGCAGAGTCTACGCAGCTGCTGACCCGTACCATCACACCATCGGGCCCGCGGCGACCTACAGCATTGGAACCATGGTAAGGAGCCCGGGCCCACCAGCCCTGAGTGCCAGTCCTAACAGCGGGGTGCAGCCCTGCAGCTGGGGTGGGTGGCGAGGCCCTGGGGCGAGAGGCCGAGCCTTGGTCCCGGAGATTTTGGAAGGAGCACGGCCTGGATGTGAGTCAGGAAGAGGGGAGGGCCGGCCCCTCGTGCCCACTCTGGGTTGCAGGGAAGCGGGCTGAACGGCTGGCCCACCAGACCTGGTCCTCTGGGAAGCACCCCAGTGTGCCTGATCCAGTTCCCTGACCCTCTCATGATAATAAAGTCCTGTTAAGTCCCCTCCACTCCCACCACCCAGGAAAACCGAAATTAAACCAGGGCCACTCTCCTTTCCCGCAGAGGCTCCCGAGGCCCCCCCAGGGGCTGTTTCTGCCCACGCCGCACCCCCACGGCCCGCCCGCACCACTGCAGCCCCTCTCCCCCAGGAAGGGAGCACAGGCCACTGGCTGCTTCTCACCAGGCCCTGGCTCCTGGCTTCCTGGGGCTTCCTGGCGTCCTGAGGAAACTGCCTGCTCTTCCCCAGCCTCCTCCCTCGGGCTGTGGGTGGAGAGGGCGGGGCGGGAGGTGTGCGGCGTGGCGTGTCTGTATGTGTGTGTGTGTGGCCAGCTGTCGACACGTGCAGCGCAGCGCACTCTGCACCCAGAGCTGCTTCCAGCGGACACCTGCCTCCTGTGCCCACCGGCCCCAGCCCCGGGCTGTGAGGTTTTAGCTAGCTTGGCATCCAGCATCAAAGATGAAAACATCTTGGGGTAGTAAGGAGGGAGGGGCTCCAGAGGCAGGATGGACTTGCCCATCTTCCTTGGTTTTGACGACTCCCTCCAATTTTTGTTTTGTCTTTTTCCATTTTTATCGAGCCTCAGACACCCCCAGCAGCCTGTGGTGGCTGCAGACAGTCACGGGAGCGGGTCTGACGGGGCGCGGCACAGCCCCACCTGGATGGAGGCGCGACCCCCCGGCGCCCAGGCCCTCCGTGCAGCTGCAAGCTAAAGGCTTTCATTAATGCACAGAGGGTTCCCTCTTGTGTCTTCGCTTTTTATTTTTAAGATTTTCTATTTTTTTCCCCAATTTTTCTTCCCAACACACTTGCCGTGTTCTTCCCTTTTCTGGCAAAACTGGGTGGTTGGAGGGTGGGAGGCTCCTTCGGAGCCCTCCGTGACTGGGGGCAGCCCAGGACGTGGGAGGCTGGAACACCCAACACCAGTTCTCCCCAGCAGGACAGGGCTGGGCCCTAGGTGGGCCCGGGAGGACCCAGGGACCCCCAGAGAGCAAGGCTCTGGCACTGTGCCTGGAAGGCTTGCCTCTCCCAGCATAACCAGCTTCAGTGGCCCCAGGCTCTTGAGCCAAGGCCCAGGAACCTGCCAGGAGTTCCCTCAAGCCTCCGAAGATGCCCTGTGCTGCCCTGCTGGGGTTCGAGGAGGTGGGACTCGAGCTGGGACCTCCCTCTGCATAAGGACAGTGAGAAGCCAGGCCTGAGCCCAGAGACGTGAGCCAGACACAACTCAAAGCTCATGACCCAGAAGTGCTGCTGGCCATGACCCCAGAACAGCCCTTCCCACTGGCCCCAAACCACCCCGACAGAGGCAGGCCCGAGCCCTCCTGCCGACCTGACAACCCAGCTCCTTTCTCCCCAAAGACTTCAGGGGGAACGAACCCAAGACTTAGCTATTTCTCTTTTTGGTTTTCCTTGGTTTTTTTTCTTTTTGCTTTTTCCCCTCTTTCAAAAGGCGGTACTGATTGGCTGTTTTTCATCTTTGATGTTGCAGGCTAGCCTCTGCCGAGGAGGGTACAGCCGCTTCACCCCCTACTAGCAAGAGACCCAGCCCCTAACAGCATTCACACTGACTGCCTCTCACAAACCACACCCAACAGCCCAAAACCAGGCACAGCCACCAGGAAGACAGTGCACCCCTCCCGGCCAGCGACACGCACGGCTGGCCCTCTGCGACTCTAAAATCCATAGTTTTCCTCTCCAGCCAGCTGGTCTCCCCACCCCACCTGTGCTGGTGTGTGTGTCTTTGACCCTGGTTTTTCCTGTATGTCTGAAACCGTGATTTCCTATTTTGCGTTTGTTGATGTTGCACTGCCCCAGCCATGCAGGTACGGTATGCACACCGTGGGGTCCAGGCTGGGCCAGGAGACCAGGCAGCCCCCGAGCCAGGAGTAGCAGTAGCACCCTGTGAGGGCAAGAGCCACGTGTCCTGGACTGCCAGGCTGCATAGAGTGGCAGAAACGCCCGGCAGGGCCTCCCCCAGAGCCACCCAGCCAGTCCCATGCCACGGCCCTAGTGTACAGTGCCCTGACGCAGGGAGGGAGGGGCTCCAGGCGCCCGGTGTGGGTCCCCGGCTGAGGGTGCTCCCGCCGGCCTCCACCCAGCCAACCACAGGACTAGCCATCACCCCTCCTTGCCCCATTCGGCTGAAACTAATATTTTTGATTAAATTTTATTGAAGATAATCCTTGCCGACGTAGTCACAAGCATGTCCCGTGGTGTGCAAACTGCTGTGGTCACGCCAGTCCCAGAGACTCCTCAGCACTGCTGCTGCGAGAAACGGCAATGTGGAAAGGCGTGTCCCGGCCCCTCATCAGGGCGCCCCTTAGCACCACAGGGTGGAAGCCAGGCCAGACTTGCTCGGGGTGGGGGCAGGAGTGGGTTGTCCTAGAGGCACAGCCTACTCTCCCTGTCCCCAGTCCCTGAAATGTCTTTATTGGGGTACATTCCAGAAGGAAGGGTCCTCAACAGGAGAGCCGATGAGGGGCAGATGTGCCCTTGCTCAGGCCCTCCCTGCGTTAGGGGGAATGTAGGCAGGGAGGGCCGTGTGGCCCACGGGCCGCCCCCTCCCCAGCCCTAGAACTGGCCAGCCTGGCGCATGGCGCTCCTGGGGAGACGCTGGCTGCGACCTCAGTTGAGCACAGCCCCGGGCAGCCGCTGGTGTGCCTGGGAAAAGCCAGCCAAGATGGGCACGGTCGTCCTTCCCTGGGGCTGGCCTGGGGCACACGGATCTGAACCTCCATGCCAGAGAAAAGTAGCCTCAGGCTCCGAGTGTGCCACAGCCGGCTCCTGGGACAGGAAGGCCAGCTGGAGGGGTGGGTTCCCCGCCAGCCAGGGCTGAGGTCCTGCCGCCAACCGGACCCTTGCTGTGGGGAGCCCGGCTCCCCGCCTCCCGTGGCCAGACCCTCACCCTCCGCCGTCCCACCCAGGCTGCCTCTGGCCTGCACTGGCCCAGCCTCTCCCCTCGCCCTGTCTCGCCCACCTCCGTCTCCTCCCGTCCCGGGCTGCCTGCGCCCCATCCTGGCATCCACTCACACTCGGCCCTGGAAGATGAGGGTCCTGGAAGCTGGGGGGCAGTTGTGAGGGCGCCAGGACTTTAGGCCAGGGACCCCATGCCATGCGGCCTGTCGCCCTCACACCTGCCGCACCTGCCCCTGAGAAGCTGCAAGTCCTGCCTTTCTGTTTCTGTTGTAGTGAAACCTTCCACCGTTTCCTTCTCGGACCATGAAGGGCAAAAACAAACAAACAAACAAAAAACAAAAAAAAAAATCACAAAACAAACAAAAAAAAAAAAAACAAAAAAAGATGTTAAGATCCAAGCAACAAAAAAAAACCAACCAAACCAAGAGGCATCCAACCGAGTCCACGTCCCACGTCCCGGCCACACGCCCGCAGCGAGGGAGCACGCCAGCAGGGGTGCTGAGGAGCCCCGGGACAGGACGGCCCGCCTCGTCGCTCGTCCCCGCCCTGGCTGGCAGCGCAGTGGGGACGCCCCCCTCCATCTCAGGCAGTGGGGAAGTTGGAGGGGAAGGGGCCTCCCTTGCAGGGCCTGTGGGGGGCTCTGTTTGCCATCCAGTCTTCCTTTCCCAGGCCCCTACTCCCAAGGCAGCATGGGGCTCAGCAGCGCGGAGCAGGCGCCGGCCTGAGCAGGGAGGCGCTGGAACGAGACTTACCTTTGTGGCCAGTGGGGCCGGGGCGGGGCCGGCGGGGCTGGGGGTGCGGGCGGCTTTCATCCCTGGGGCTCACTGGGCCCCGTCACCCTTGTGTCGCGTCCTCTGTGTCCCACCTCCCTCGTGCTCGGCAGTCCCGCCCATGCCCCCAGTCTGGCGAGGAAGTCGTCCAACAGCCCAGGGCCGACTCCAACAGAAAGGGCTGACCTGGCTCCAGGACTCAGGGGCACCCCAGGGAAGAACGAAAGCACCCCGGCCAGCCAGGAGCCACTCCTCACACCGCCGAGCGTGGCCAGGCCGGCCCTGAGGCCAAGGACATGTCACTCGCTTTCTGGAGGAGGCCCGGGGTCTGTGCACACCAAGGCCGACCTCGTGCGGCCTGCTGGGACCTGGCCCTCCCTGCCGTGGCCCTTCGAGCCCAGTCCCACCAGGGGCACCCAGGGATGGGCCAGCGCCCGGCTGCACCGCAAGGTCAAGGTTAGGAGTCACGGTGGCCGTGAGCCTGGACGGACACAGCCAGAGCAGAGGCCCACGGGAAGGGCAGAGGGTGGGGGAGCCTGAGCCCACCCCTCCCTGCTCCCAGGGCAGGTGTCCAGGTGGCAGGAGCAGCACCAAGGACAGCCAAGCTCTCGGGCAGGCAGAGCAGGAGCAGAGCAGGTGGCAGGGAGGAGCCCCTCGAGGTAGGGAGCACTGAAAAAGGCGAACAGCAAAAAATCCAGGCTCCCGACGCGGCTCCTCTGTCTCGTGAAACGTCAAAAATTTAAAAATACACCTCACTTTCTATTCAGCATCAGCTACTGAAGCTCTCGAAATGGAATTCTCCTTTTCTATTCCCGTTGTACATAGCCCCCACCCTGCCTCCGGCTTTGTCCTCTGTACAGAGCCCCCATCCCTCTGCTGTTCCAGACCCTTCTGCAGCAGCTCACTCCCCGGCCCAGATCCCCAGGACTGCAGCCGAGCCCCGGGCTTCCTTTCTTACCATTCTGTATGCTTCCAAGGTGTGACCATTCAAATTAACAGTATTATTAAGATTATTAATAAAGATTTCTTTCTTCAAACCAGGACAACTCTGTATGCTCTGGCAGCTCCCGGGCCCGGTGGGTGGAGGGCATAGGGGCCCAGGGTGCAGGATCAGGGCCAGAATCAGGGCCAGGATGGGACGAAGCCCGGCCTTGGTCTGTAGCCAGGTGGCAGCGGCATCAGAAGGCCCTTCTAGGCAAGAGACTTTCCAGTCCCAGTCCTTCAGTCCATGTGGATCCTCTGTATCCCACCCCAGGACGGGCTGGGTGGTGGCAGCTCATGGCGGCTTTGTGTTACCTGGCCTCCCTCAGTCCCTTCTTTCCTGGTCACAGCACACGCCGGGCACAGCATGACCTCACAGAGCAGAATGCACCCCAGGAGGCTGGGTGTGGTGGCTCACGCCTGTAATCCCAGCACTTTGGGAGGCCGAGGCAGGCGGATCACCTGAGGCCAGTTCAGGAACAGCCTGGCCAACATGGTGAAACCCTGTCTCTACTAAAAAAAAAAATTAGCCAGGTGTGGTGGTGCATGCCTGTAATCCCAGCTACTCGGGAGGCTGAGGCAGGAGAATCGCTTGAACCCGGGAGGCAGAGACTGCAGTGAGGTAAGAGCGAGCCACTGCACTCCTGCCTGGGCAACAGAGTAAGACTCTGTCCCTCCCCCTCCCAAAGAAAAAGGAACCCCAGGAGGCAGAAGGGTTAGACCTGGTGGCCACACAGCTGTGCTTGGTCGATCCAATGCCAGAGAGAGCACGGACCTGGAGGGTGGAGGGTCACGGTACAAAGGCGCACGTGGCTGGTGCCCCAGCTGGTTCTGCACCCCGGTCTCACCCGAGCTGGGGCCCATGAGGAGCCGTGTTGCTTCAAGCTAAACCCACAGGAGCCAGAGCACAGCTGCAAAGGATCGGCTGAAGACGGGACGGGAAGGTGAGTGGCAAAACCTGAACCCGGAGCTCAGAAGCCTAGGGCTGGGCGGGGGCTGGGGCTGGACAGGGAGCCAGCGTCCGAGGCTGGGCTGACGCTGCCCTCGCCTATCACACCAGGACGCCAGTGTTTTTCACAGTGTCAGATCGTTTATTTCAGGGCATTTACAGCCGGCAGAGGGACGCAGGCTTACACGCCGCATGTTAATTTTCCTGCACACCAGCCCTGCACGGCAGGCGGGGTGGGGCTGGGGAGCCAGGGCGGCGTGTTTCTGCCACACGCCACGCTCTGCTAAGCCCCCTTACTCCTAATTGCTTGCTTACCAGACTGTGAGAAAATAATTGCCATTATAAATTTTCCCTCCTCTGCATAAAATATTCAGAGAAACCAGCACTTAAAAGACTTCATGAAGGAAGGGCAGCAGGCATGCTGCACCCCCACCGCCGCAGAGGACATGGAGAGGCCAGGAGCCCCTCCCCAGATCCCCCTGGTTCCAAATAGGGGAGAGAGGTTCAAAGGGTTCGCAGGAACCGTCACAGCTGAAAAAGGAGTGGAGTCAGCTCATGTTCACCTGCCCTCCACCCAGGACAGCGCCCGGCGGTTCCAGGCCACAGGGGGTCAGCAGAGGGACCCTCCTGCCCCACATCCTTGGCAAACGCTTCTCCTGGAACCACATGTGAGACATGGAAGAATGTTCCAAATTAGAAGCCCAGACCTTTAATCCCAGGGCCTTCTGCTTGGCACGAGTACCCAGGCAGGCAGGGAAGATGGAGAAAGAGGCAGATTTCAGCCCCTGGAAGGAGCCTCAGCTCAGAGCGGCTGCTGGGCACCAGCCTTGCCCTCCTCCTCCACACGCGGGAGCGGGTGTGACTGGGCTGCCACCTGGTGGCCTCTGCCCTCACTGCAGGGCGAAATGACGGGGATGCCAGCCCTTAGGTGTGGGCTCTGGCTGGGGTCACGGTATTCCAGCTCTCAGCACTGCCCAACATCAAGTGGACCCCCACCGCCAGCCCTATGTGGCCTGGGGGTGAGACCCCCCCGCCAAAAGCGAGGGACTTCAGGCCACTGACTCCATGGAAGGACCACAACAGACCCCACCCAGACCAGCCACCGGATGACCCAAGGCCATGGGGCCTAGAGAGACACCAGGAAGCCTCCTGGCCAGAGGGGAGGAGCCAGCTAGAGAAGAGCCAGAAGGACAGAAGAAGGCCTGCGGTGACGACCCGGCCTGCGGTGACGACCCGGCCTGCGGTGACGACCCGGCCTGCGGTGACGACCCGGCCTGCGGTGCGTGCTGCCTCCTGCTCAAGGGTAAGCCTGGAGGTCTCCCTGGTGTTTGAGGGAGGTGGTGAAAGAACAGAATAGTTGCAAAAGACCCCACGGCTCCTGCAGCTCCTGCATGCGGGAGGATGCTGGGCTGGCGTGGGGAGCGGATGCTGCTGCCGGCCTGGCCTGACCTGCGACCTGAGCCTAAAGGCAGCTTGTCCAGAGCCCACGGCCTCTCGCTCAGCAGAGGCAGGGCCGCAGTGCAGACTGCCTCGGGGCCACTTCCCTGCACCCCCACAGCTGGGAAGGGACACAGCAGGGCCAGGGGCTGGTGAGAACGCTGCAGAAATGACCTCACCCTCAGCAGCACAGTGAATTGCCAGCGCCAGGGCACACACAGCCACGGGGCTGGCCCGCAATGCCCACTCCTCAGGGGAAAGGGGCCTTTCCCACCAGGAGGCGGGGTCTCCAGGGCGTCCTCTCCTGACACCTACAGGCAGCCCCACCCTGGGAGCCCCCCGTAGCTCGTCCCCATCTTCAGGAACGTCTTGGGGCCTGCCCCAAAGCCTGCCTGCCACGATCTAAGCACCTTTCTCATAGTTTCATCTGCGGGAAAAAAAAAAAAATCATTCTCGGCATCAGCATCTTGCAGCCTATTAGGAAATACCCTTTAGGGAATTTTCTGTCCTAAACATCCTCCCCGTTTTCCTGTTCACGTGGGAACCATGTACTGTGGGGCGGGGCTAAGCAGAAACAGAGGGCCCGCCACTCACCTCAGTGACCAACGCTGCAATCCCACCGCTTGGTGTCCTGTCACCAACGCCCCCCACCCCCCCCCGTCCCTGACAAAAAGCCACAGCACTCAGCCCGGGGGTCTTCCGCCCCAGCCCCGGGACCTGGGTCTCACCGCCACTGCCGGCATGGCACTTCGCAGGCCCAGCGCAGGCCGGGACCAGATGGCCGGGAAGAGGCCTCAGCCCGAGGCCAGACCACCAGGCCTTACTTCCGCTCACGCGGGGGCCGAATAGAGCAGAGCCGCCCGGCCCCACTCGGCCTGAGGCACCCGGAACCCTTCCTTGGGGACAGGCTCCACCAGAAACGTAATGCGACGATCCTGGCCGGGCCCGGCGGCATCCACCAGCAGGTCCGCTATCCGGTACTGGGTGGCAAAAGCCAACCCCAGGAACGTGGGTCCCTCTGGCCTCGGCGGCTCCCCACCCGGGGAGCCATCGCCCGTCCCTCCGCAGCAGTGGATCCGGAAGCAGCGGACTTGCGGCAGGAGGAAGGCCCAGTGCAGGGTGCAGCTGAGCTGGAGCAGACCGGGGGGTCCCTGCCGCCAGCGGACGTGAGAGACGGTGACGGCCTGCACCTGGGGCAGTGGGGCCAGCAGGCTGGCAGCGTCCACCACCTGGCAGGAGAAAAGGCTTGGCATGGCTGGAAGCCAGGGAGCTGGGAGAGGGTGCCCCCACCCACACACTTGCCCTCCCTGACTCCCCCGCCCCAGTTCCGCCCTGAACCCGAGAAGGGAGCAGCCTGGGCAGCCTCCAGCCCCGCTCCTGCTGGACAAGCGGCCAGTCCAGCCCGAGCCCCTCTGGGAAGTGTCACCTGGATCTCTCCAAGGCGACAGGTGAAGCTCTCCTCCTCCCGGCTACCCGGCGGCCGTGTGAAGCAAACGAAGAGGTCCAGCAAGAGGCACCCACGCAGGCTCACCTCGTAGCAGCTGCAGGGGCCAAAGGGCTGATCACAGGCCGGGCTCAGCCCAGCACTCCAGGGTGAGCCGGTCCAGAGGCCCCCAAGCCACAGCAGAAGGGAGATCCGTCCCGGGGCAGTGGGGACCCCGGGCCGACAGCAGGGCTCCCAGCAGCTGTCCCGGGCTTGTCTCAGAGCTGCCCAAAACCCAGGGGCCGGCCCAGGGCCCCTCCATCCCTCCAGCACTGGGATTTCCAGCAGAGATTCGAGTGAAGCAGGACTTACTGCTGGACCCAGCCCCCGCTCAGCTGCCGGCCGCAGCGGCCCACCCATCTGGCCAGCTTGGTGGGAGGTACCCGGAGGGGTCGGAGGCTGTGTCTTGAGCTTGTTTCTGCTGGAGGAGGAGACACGGGACTTGAAAAAGGAGAATTTCAAAGGAAAAGGTGCTGGGAAGGACCACCAAGAGAGCCCCTGGAGGCCAGAGAAGACCCCCCCATGATGCCAGATGCTCGCAGGTTCTGAGAAGTGACCAGGCAGAGCCCCAGAGAAGCTCAGCAAACGACACGCGTGTCCGGGTCAGCCACTCTCACCCGTCCTGGCTTCCTCCAGCCTGCTGTCTCCCCACCCCAACTCCTCGCCCCTCTCCACACTGCGGCCAGCAGCAAGCCTGTGTGCAGCTCAGGTCTCTAGGAGGAGCCATCGTCTACCCTGCGCAGATGCCTCAGCCGCCCAGCAAGGCCACAGGGCAGAGGTTGCAGCTGAGAAGTGAATCCTCCCTGTCCAGGCCTTGACCACAGCTGCCCTGACTCCAGCAAAGGCAAGGTTTACCCTCCACTGTCCACACTCCATGAGCCTTCCCACACCTCTGTCCCCTGAGCTCTCCCCGGGCAGAGGCAGGCCTGGGTCCCCATTGCCTCACCATTCAACACTGAGATGCCACTGATGTGACAGCTGCCAGCATCCCCCGTGGTCAGCTCCAAAGCCACCGTGACGTCCGTAGGCCCTTCAAGCTTGTATACCATGGACAGAAAAATTTTGGGGGGCACGGGGACCTGCAGGGAAAATAACCTGGGGAGAAAGGTCCTGCGCTGAGTGCCCCAGAGAAATCACTGAGAAACAGAAGACAGCTCCGGATCGCGCCCGCCAGCCCCTCCCTTGGCAAGCAGGGCGCCGGAGCGGCAAACACTCTCACGGAGTGGTCCTGTCTGTGGCCAGGGACAAGCCCTCCCCAAGGCCAGATTCTTTTGTGGGCCGAGACCTCTCAGTTCTGAAATACTGTATGATTCCCTCGTGTGGGGCATCTAAAGGCTCCAAACTCACAGATGCAGAGTGGAGGGTGGCTTTGAGGGGCCGGGGGAGGACGGAGAGCTAATGAGCAACGGGGACAGTCCAGTCCTCCAAGATGACACAGCTCTAGGGATCTGTCGCACAGCAACACACGCAGAGCCCACACTTCAACATGGTGAACATGGTACATCTCATGTGAATGCACTTCTGACCACAACTTTAAAAACCAGTCTGGGTCTGTCCTGTCCTCGTTCTGGCTTCCACTGCCCCATCCGCCCAGTTCCGCAGCCACCATGTGTGACAGGAGAAGCTGGTGGGCCCGCACGTCCCCCATCACTCACCCACCTCACAGCCACATTTCCAGCCTCCGACGGGATCACACCCTGGATGAGCAGGGAGCTGCCCCCATGCCAGGCGTCTTCCAGGCAGCAGTGCGTCCTCACCCAGCCCTGGCCATCCCCTCCCAGCCTGTGCTCTCCAAACAAAGGCTGCATCTCCTGGGCGCTCAGGTGGTACCAGGGCCCCACCGTCTCCTCCTGAAGAAAAGGGCAGAGCGGGGGCACTCAGCAGAGGCCAGCAGAGCAGATGTGCCCGGAGCAGCCCAGGCTCCTCCCACCTGTCCCAGCTGAGGCCAGAAGACAGACACCATGGAAGGCGTACACCCACCTGGCCGTAGCAGACCCTCCGTGCACCCATGCCCAGGCAGAAGGATGTGACGAAAGGCAAGGAGCAGATGCTATGTGTGGGCAGATAACGCTCCAGCCGGCCCCAGAACCTGCCGGAGACATGGGGGCAACAGGCCGGTCCTGAGGAACGGAGGGAGCCTCCCAGTGTCCCTCGAACTTGCTGGTGGAAACTCGGGGCTCTCCTGCAGCCTCCCCAGCTACGGAGATGTTGGACACACGTCTGCAGGAAGCGGTCGCTGGGTTTGGTCCCTACCCGGAAGCAGCCGGGGTGGCTGGTTTCTTCTCCCTTCATCCTCTTTTAACCCTCCCCCCCGCAGGAAGGGTCACTGAAGAGCACGAACATGTCTTATCAGAGAAGCCAGGGACCCTTCCCACCCATCAGCCTGCACTAAGCACCCAGGATGGTTGGACTCACTTGTCCTGGTTCTGGAAGAAATGCTCCTTCTCCAGACACTCGTACACCCAGCCAGGAGCGAACAGGGCCACAGAGAAGCCATGCTTCCGGATCAGCTCCAGCGACTGAGGAGACAGACGTCAGGGAGACACTGGGCATGTCAGAACCGCGGAGCTCAGACAGGCTCCTGGACGCCGGTGATGGGGGCAGGGGCTTTCAGGGCAGCTGGGAAATTCCCTCCCTCCTAACTGCATGTGGGGGCTGCGGGACATCACCCCCGTCATTCCACAAGCTGGCCAGAAGAAGGGGTGGCAGAGGCGGCCAGGCGGTCGGCGCTGCTGCATGGGCAGGAGGAGCTGGCTGGCTGTGGCCACGGGCCCCTCGCCCTCTGGCCACATTCGATCATCAGAATCCCAGGCAGCAAAGAGGCTCTCCTGTTATTGGATTAATTTACTCATCTGAAGCTAAATTAATGACTGACAACATCGCTGGGGCTCTGGGAAGGGGCAGGACTGACGGGCCAGAGGCAGGCAGAGCCCTGCACATCTCACACCAGGGGCACCAGCCCGGCCCCGCTCCTTCCTCCATGCTGGCGTGACCTGCCTTGCCGGAAAATGCTCCCTCGTCATGACACCTGCTGCTCCCCAAACCCTGGGCACTTCCCCCATCCTCACCCCTGAGCCTCGTGAGAGGTGCAGCAGGCCCCTCCGAGACCACCCAGGCTTCGCCGGAGGGGAGGTCAAGGAATGCAGCGGGGACAGGGAGCTTGGTTCCATGAAGACCAGATGGCAGGGCACAGAGCGCCTCTGTCCAGTAACACCCATGGAAAAACACTAGCCACCCGTAGAAATGGCCGGGAAGGGGTTTCAGTGGGGACACAGCTTGGCCAGACGGGACACCCTGTTTCTCAATGCCACAGGGTCTCCGCTCCGGAAAGAACAGCTGCTGTACCTCCTTTGAGATGCGGAGGGGAATGAAAGGTCCGTGAGGAAATGAGGTCCCAGGGGAGGCACTGGGCCATGGCCTTGGGCGAAGAGGACCACCCACCTTGTCTGTATCAAATCGGCCTCCGACCACGTTCCCCCGAGCAAACACATCCACGCCCACGTACACGTCGGCCCGGCGCTCCCCCGCCTGCCCCAGCATCCGCTCCAGGTGCTCCTCCTGCCAGTTATAGTTGGTGAAGAAGCCGTCACAGGAATCAAAGAAGACCCTGAGGAACAGGAACCTGCTGTGAGGCCCAGAGGGACGGGGCCACCACGCCACCCCACACAGTCTCAGCCTACCCCCTCCTGGAGCCCAGAGGCACCTGCAATTCACAGGCTGGGAGCTGCCTCCAGGACCTATGACACAGCCTGGTCCCCAAGGGCAGGGAGCAGCCCCAGACGGTGACCTGAAACCCTCAGCACCCATGGCGTCTGCTGAGGCTCAGAATGTTCAGAGAACTCTTTGCCTTCTCTGCGTTTTTACCCAACGCAGTCATATATGCGCTGCCTCCATGAGGGAGACTGCGCCCACCCCTCATGGCACGTGGCACCCGCCGCTCGAGCCATCGCCCCTCGCAGCCCCGTCTGCAGGCTCGCCTGTTGTGCTGGTTGAGTTCATTCTGCCATTTGAGCTGCCCGCTCTGCACCACACTGTCGTACCACAGCACCAGGCCCCCCGGGACCTGCCGGTGCAGCTGCGTGGTCAGGTAGCGCAGGAAAGGAGGCATGTTCCCCACGGCCGCCAACTGAAAGAGAGGAAGGAGGTGAGAGCGTCGGTGAGCCCCAGTCCGTCTATCTGGAGAAGTATCTGGCGCCGGACAGACGGGGACGCAGAGCAGACGGATCCACAGGAGAAGCTGCAGTCCGGAAAGGCCCTCCCCGCCACGGCCTCGAACGTGGAGTCCAGCCAAAGAGACGACTGTCCTTTCATATTGCGGCCGGAGGAACACGAACGCAGAAGTCAGGAAAAGAGAGTGCACGGAAAGGGAGGGAGCCCAGGGAAGGAAGCCACGCACCCAGCCCCAGCTGCCAGAGGAGGAGCGGGAAAGGCGAGCCAGCCCGGGAGGTCTCACTAGGAGTAACTAAGATCTCAGAGTCGGCGCTGCCGCCACCTGGTGTGGGGTGAGGTAAGGCCAAGGAAGGCCAGAGGAGGAGGTGGGCAGCAAAACAGCAAGGGGCGGGGGGTGGGCGAGGGCCCGGCGCTCACACTCAGAGGGTTCTCGATGTTGATCAGCCAGCCATCGAAACGAAAAAACTGAGCGATCTGGACCAGCTGGTTGGCCACTGCCTGGTATGAGCGCTGGTCCCCAGCCAGAAAGGCTTCACAGAGCCTTGCCCCTTCATTCCACTCGGTGATGAACGTCCCTGTGAGGACAGCAGAGAAGCAAGGTCAGCCGCGGGAATCGCTTTCCCTCCACTCGTTTTCAAAGCGAGGTTCCCGAACTGGCAGCCTCAGTATCACCTGCCCACTTGGTAGACGTTCAAACCCCCATATAGCTAGTGAATCAGACACTCTGCCAACGGGGACCAGCAGTCGCGGTGACAGAAGCCCATACACAGTGGGGATTGAGGCTACAGCCTGAGCAGCACTGTTCTGACCCCAGGAATCGGCAGACCGTGGCCCTGGGGCCCATGCCTGCTACCACCTGAGTGTGTAAATGGCAATTTTATTGCACACGGCCCCGCCTATCTGTTTAACTGCTGTCACTCCAGTAATCACCACAGTGACCCAGTGGTCTGAAATGGTGAAAATACTATCTGGTCCTTTCCAGAAAAAACCTGCAGGTGCCTGTCCTGCCTGACGGAGGCGGCCCTCAGCGAGGGGCTCTGTGCACTGAGAAGCAGGCAAAGCCCGAGCCTCCTAATCACGGGGTCCCCCGGCCGGTGAGCTGAGTCTGGCCGAGACGGAGGTGAGTGTCTGGCTCTTACCCAGCACACAGACGCCCTGCCTGTGGGCAGCGTTGGTCCAGCCCACTGGGGGGATGGTGACTGCGTGGTGGCTGAAGTACACAAAAACGTCGATGTGCTGCCAGTGGTAGAAGGCATAGGGAGTCTGTGCTGCCGAGCCCTGAATGAACCTGGGGAAAGAAACAGCATGGGGCCGGCCGCGGCGGCTCAGGCCCGTATTCCCAGCACCTTGGGAGGCCAAGGCGGGAGGATCACTTGAGCCCAGGGGTTTAAGACCAGCCTGGGCAACATGGCAAAACCACCTCTCCCCCTAGAAGTGAAAAAACTTGCCAGGTGTGGTGGCGCGCACCTGTAGTCCCAGCTACTTGGGAGGCTGAACTGGGAGAACCACTTGAGCCCAGGAGGTCAAGGCTGCAGTGAGCCCAGGTTGCAGCACTGCACTCCAGCCTGGGTGACCGAGTAACACCCTGTCTCAAAAAAAAAAAAAGAAAAAAAGATAGAGTCGGGTCCCAGGAAACAGAATAAGGACACAGAGACCACAGGGGGTCCCCAAAGGTTTCTCCTTAGTTCCATTCAGTCAAGACTCCCGGAAGCCCGCCGTGTCCAGGCACGGTGCAGCCAGGGAGAGAGGCAGGAGCCAGCTGCCATTCCTGCAGCTGCAGGCAAAGCGCTCTGACCGGGGCATTAGGCATTTGCCATCGAATCTGATGGACGGAGCATCGCCACTCGCTATGAGCAGATGAACAAAGGAGAGAAGGGAAGGGAAGCAGGAAGGCTCGTGTCAAAGTCCGGTCTCTGCTTTCTCCTTCTTTCCAGAGGGGCAGGCAGGCCCTCAGGACACGGTCTCCTGGAATTCAAAGGTTGGGGCTGACAGCAGGGTGAGCTGTGCCCACGGTTTCATCACCTGCCTCTGTCTCTACCTTGATGGCTGGCTCTGACTCAAGCCTTCCTGTCAATCACAGGGTCCAAGATTGTTTTGTGGACATGTAAAAGCACCACATGGACTCCTTGGTAACTTTGGATGGGACATCTGCAGCTGGGGCGGGTGGGGCGTGTGACGTCTCTGTGCGTCAAAGCCAGAGCCCAGCGACCCAGAACAGGATCGGAGCTTAAGCAGAGACGAACACCAAACTGAGTGAGGATTCGAGGTGGGGGCCGGCAGCTGAAGGGGACCCCCTGCCTCCTGTGCCCCCCTCCAGTCTACCAGACTGCAAGTCAAGGAGCTTCAAGGAGTCAAAAGGGACGTAAGACATTGCCTAAGCCAGTCTTCCTCTTTTTTTTGAGACAGAGTCTCACTCTGTCGCCCAGGCTGGAGTGCAGTGGGGCTCAATCTCAGCTCACTGCAATCTCTGCCTCGTGGTTCAAGCCATTCTTCTGCATTAGCCTCCTGGGTAGCTGGATTACAGGTACCCACCACCATGCCTGGCTAATTTTTATATTTTTAGTAGAGGCAGGGTTTCACCATGTTGGCCAGGCTGGTCTCAAACTCCTGAACTCAGGTGATCCACCTGCCTTGATCTCCCAAAGTGCTGGGATTACAGGCGTGAGCCACCACCCCCCGCCCGATCTTCCCTTTTTACAGATGAACACTGAGGGCTGCCCTCCTCTCAGTTAGTGCGGTCCCTCCAATGCCCATCTCCTGACTCCCCGCCCAGTGCTCTTTCTACACATGGCACTCTCTCCCACCCCTCCAGCCCCCACCCCAGCAAAGGAAAACAGTCAGTCTGAGGCCAGGTCATCCTGTCATACCTGTCATCCAGGTACCCGCCCATCATGTCATGACACAACAAAGTCCGGGGCCTCTGGCTGCTCAGAGGGGGCTGGCGACATGCCAGGGGCTCCAGGGCCACGTTAAAGCCATCCTCCATGTGGGGCGTCCATGCCAAGAGCTCCTCCAGCGAAGACAAGTAAAAGCTGATAGGTTTAGTGGTGTCCTTGTCATAATATCTAACTGGTCCGAGGACAGAAACATCGAGGAATGAATGGAAATTATTATTATTATTTTTTTTTTTTTTTGAGACGGAGTTTCGCTCTTGTTACCCAGGCTGGAGTGCAATGGCGCGATCTCGGCTCACCGCAACCTCCGCCTCCTGGGTTCAGGCAATTCTCCTGCCTCAGCCTCCTGAGTAGCTGGGACTACAGGCACGCGCCACCATGCCCAGCTAATTTTTTGTATTTTTAGTAGAGACGGGGTTTCACCATGTTGACCAGGATGGTCTCGATCTCTTGACCTCGTGATCCACCCGCCTCGGCCTCCCAAAGTGCTGGGATTACAGGCTTGAGCCACCGCGCCCAGCTGAATGGAAATTATTATAGGATTAATGGAAACGGGCTTTGATAATAACAGAGAAGGAACATGAGAGGGGGTGGGGGCTGACCTGCCCCGAAGCCCCAGGCTGAAGTTGGAGTCAGTATTCAGAGCCTCCGTCTCCTCACCTGGCAGGGGGTCCGAGGAAAAACTGACCACTTCTCGAAAAACTGTCTCTTCTTCAACATCTTTGATTCTAAGCAAAGAAGGAGTTGTACATTTATAAATTTTTTTAAAAAACAAATTTAGAAGCAAATGGATGAGTTTCACCTAAACATGGAGGGAGAGAGATTATCTGGCTTACATTTTTTAATATTAACTATAGAAACATTGTATAAAGCAATGAAGTAGCTGTGACAGTCCTGAGGTGGCCTGTATTAGCAACCAGAGCTTTGCTTCTGCATAGACTCATGGCAACGATTACTCCCAAGAATAAACCTTGCCCTAGGCCAGACGCAGTGGCTCACGCCTGTAATCCCAACACTGTGGGAGGCCAAGGCGGGTGGATCACCTGAGGTCAGGAGTTCAAGACCAGCCTGGCCAACAAGGCAAAACCTTGTCTCTACCAAAAACACAAAAATTAGTCAGGCATGATGGCACACGCCTGTAATCACAGCACCTTGGGAGGCTGAGGCAGGAGAATCGCCTGAACCCGGGAGGCGAAGGTTGCAGTGAGCCGAGATTGTGCCGCTGCACTCCAGCCTGGGTGACAGAGCGAGACTGTGTTTCAAAAATAATGAATAGAATAAACCTTACCCTCTAAAGCAGCCACCCAAATATCACACTCCAAAGACCAGACATACACTTCACAGGGTCCCCAGGATTTGCTATGGCCAAAGGGCAATATCCAAATACCCAAAGTAGAGAAAGTTTCAGGTCGTAAGACAGCAGGGGCCAGGCTTTCTGCATAGGCCATGCTTCCCTCAGCGCCTTCCAGGCTGCTCATGCATGGATGTTACAGGGAGAAAGGGTTCCTTTAGCACATTAACATGGAAAGCCCCTGAATACATCTCAAACCACTTCTTGTTAAAAATTTATTTTTTTATTTTTATTTTTTATTTTTTGTTTGTTTGCTTGTTTTGAGAGAGTCTCACTCTGTTGCCAGGCACCAGGCTGGAGTGCAGTGGCGCGATCTTGGCTCACTGCAACCTCCATTTCCCAGGTTCAAGTGAGTCTCCTGCCTCAGCCTCCGGAGTAGTTGGGATTACAGGTGTCTGCCACCATGCCTAATTTTGTCTTTTTAGTAGAGACATGGGTTTCATCATGTTGGCCAGGCTGCTCACAAAATCCGGAACTCAAGTGATCCACCCACCTTGGCCTCCCAAGAGCTGGGATTACAGGCATGAGCTACCACGCCTGGCCTAAAAAATTTTAATTATTTTAAGATCAGAAAAACACTGCAGTGACGATCGTCCAAGGCCACTTCTTTGTTCGCTGAGCTGTCATCTGTCTGCACGCCGCTGCCATTCAGAGGCCTGTGGCCAAGAGTCCTCGGTAGCTTCTGCCACCACCAAACACTGACCCGGGGCCTCCAGAATGGCACTGAGAGACCCTGAGGACTGCAGGGGTGGGGGCAGATTCAAGCAGAGATGCCACAGAAGGTGTTCCTCTCCACCTTCCTTTGCCCAAGCCCCCTCCCTTGTTGATGTCCTTATTATCCTTCAGCCGCCCCCTCCTGGGCCTGCTCAGAGCAATCCTCACCCACACGAGGTCACCTTTGTCACCTGTCATTCCTCCACTAGGAGGGAAACCGCCGTCTCCACATTCCTCCTGTCCAGAAATACCTTTCCCGCCAGCCCCCATCCCGCCATCACGAGGCTGAAACGCCAGCAGTCTCATTGCTTTGGGTCTAACAAAGCTCCGGCTGCAGTTTCCAGAAGCCAAGTCTGTGCTCCTAACTTCCCCTCTCCCCACCCTGCCCCCGCAACCTACTGGGGGGGGGGGTTTACTGGGCGGGCAGATGTCCCAGAAAGGAAGGAAGCCTGGCCCAGAGGGGCACGTTCGTCCCTTCCCGTCTCCGTGCCTTGGCCCATTCTGTTCCCCCCAGCTGGATACCCTACCCCCATTCTCCACCTGCTGAAGGCTTCCTTCTCCCCCAAAGACTCAGTTCTAATGTCACCCTGCAGAAGGCCACCCCGTCCACCTGCTGGCATCCACTGAGCCACGAGCACCGCCGCCGGGATCTTCCGCACAGACCGGCGGCGTGGGAGGCAGGGAGGGTCTGGCCGGGGCGCCGGGATTCCCGCCGGGCCCTACGGCCACTCGGGTTTGCATTTCTGGGGGGTCAGGCACGGGGGCCGGAGGCGGTTGCCCGGCAGTGGCGCAGGGACGGCGGGAAGATCTGGGGCGCGGGGGCGCTGCCACCGCCGACACGTGCTGTGCTCGGAGCGGACCCCGGCGCCGGCCCCCAGCCCCTCGGCGCGCGCGTGCGGGGGAACCTGGGACCCGCAGATCGGGGGGTCACCCGGGCCCCGCAGTCCTACCTCCTCCCCGGCCGCCGCCGCCGCCGCCGCGGCCCCGGCTCCAGCCGCTCCGGCTCCTGCTCCCGCCGCCGCCGCCGCCGCCGCGCAGCCGATCCGGTCACCGCCGCCGCCGCGGCCTCCATGACACCGTCCGCGCGGGTGGCGCGTCGCCCGGCCCGAGAGCCAATCGCAGGCCCAGGCCAGCCCCCGCGCCGCGCTCGGCCAACGGGAAGTGCGCAGCGCTCACGCCGTGCCGGGAAGGGACTGCGGGCCAACGCGCCCCGCGGCGGGGACTGTAGCGGAGTCAGCCCGGGGGCGGGGCCGAGGGCGGGGAGGGGCGGGGCCGGGGCGGGGAGGGGCGGGGCCGAGGGCGGGGGGGCGGGGCGTAGTGTGGCGGGGCCGCGCGGGGCGAGGTCGAAGGTGGGCGGGGCTGTGCGGGACGTGGTCTGAGAGAGTTCGAGCCCAGAGTTCGTCGTCGTTGTTGTTGACCATCTTTGGGTATGAGTCCAGGGTTCTAGAAGGTTCTAGAAGACTTCGGAAGGCCCCAATCTGCGCGTTCTCTCTCGAGCCTCACCAGCCTCATTTTTCGAACAAATTAAGGTTTGTCCCAGAGAGATGAAGCAATCTCCCAAAGGGCACAAAGTCACCAAATGGTGGAAATGAGACTAGCTCATCCAGCAGCTAATCCCTATTAAAAGATCATTTTCAGGCCGGGCGCAGTGGCTCTCGCCTGTGATCTGCGCACAATGGGAGCCGGGCGTGGTGGTCGGCATTTGTAATCCCAGCTACTTGGGAGGCCGGGACAGGAGAATCACTTGAACCTGGGCGGTGGAGGTTGCAGTGAGCCGAAATCGCGCCACTGCACTACAGCCTGAGCCACAGAGACTCCGTCCTCCCTCCCAAAAAAATGAAAAATCAGAAAAAGGTAAAATCCTGATTCTCTTTACAATATAAATATCAACACGTGTGAAAGATTTTATTCTACTCGTTAATCAACCAAGGAACCAGACCAGTGTTATTATTTAATATATACCCGGTCCAAAGGGGACTCCCAAGAGAGGCTCCTGTTGGAGGTGGAGCCCGGAAATGGATGTGGGAGCAGGCAGAAGGGGTCTTTCCACGGGCTACGTGTAGAGGTGGGGACAGGGGAGGTTGTGGCACCCCTACTACACAAGACAATCTGCATGTCTCTCAGATCCTCACAACCTACAAACAGCTGTTTTTAAAAAACACTATGAGGCCGGGCGCCGTGGCTCATCCCTGTAATCCCAGCACTTTGGGAGGCCGAGCTGGGCAGATCACCTGAAGTCAGGAGTTTGAGACCAGCCTGGCCAACATGGTGAAACCTTGTCTCTACTAAAAATAGAAAAATTAGCCAGGTGTGATGGTGCAAGCCTGTAATCTCAGCTACTCGGGAGGCAGAGGCCAGAGAATCACTGGAACCTGGGAGGCAGAAGCTGTAGTGAGCCGAGACTGTACCACTTCACTCCAGCCTGGGCGACAGAGGGAGACTCCGTCTCAAAAAGAAAAAAAGACAATGAAAGTTAGTATCTGACCACGTGGGAGCTGGTGACCCACGTAGGATGCATAGTTTTCCAGTGAAACACAGATTTCTTTCCACAGCCCCAAACCCGTGTTCAACAGTAGTACTTGCTCTGCCCCTAAGTGTGCAGGGCCTGGAGTGGCGCCTCTGCAAGGGTGGCACCGCCCGGCATCTTAGGCACAGAAGGAGTTCACAGGAAACAGTAAAACAGAAGCCTGGAAGCTAGAATCCAAGTCTGGGCCCCACAGGACAGGCCAAGGCTCTCCTCCCTCCGGGACCCCACGCCCTTCTGCAACGAGGAGCTTCCAGTGCCAGGCTGCAGCTGCTGCCCAAGCCAAGCTGATTGGGCCTTTCTCATTGTTGCAGACTTTGAACTTTATGAGGCTCCAAGCTTCCATAAACGCCAAGGGTGGGAACTATGACTAAGGTTATTGAATATGGGCCATGGCGCAGGCCAGCCAGTTAGGCAGGAAGGACAGGCCAGGGGACACACCGACCCATGGGAACGACAGAGATGGCAGAGGCCTCCTCTCTGGGGCTTCAGCCCTTGCAGTGGGCGAGGGCAGTGAATAAGCAGGCTCACTCCTGCCGTGTTCAGGAGAGCATCGGACGTAGTCAGTCTGGATTTGGTGTGTGTCTGCCCAGGTATTCCCGAGCCCTCACCTGTAGCTTAGCAATAAATATTGATAAACTTTCATCCTGCCCAGGTTAGAACACAGTTCCAAGGGATGCTTTGAACAGCCCTTGGGTAATGCTTAGTCTCTGGGAAAAAAAATATGCCCAAACCTCCCTTCTCATCTCTCCTTTCCAAAGAGTAGGCATCTGGTCTAGAAGAACAAGAAGGTGAAAGTTGCCCACAGGCCCCTGAGGAGAGAGAGGACTCAGATCTTGTGGCCTCTTGTTAGTCCCTGTGGTTCCCGGTCTCTCTGGGGGTCAGGCCAAGCCTGGAGGGGCCGGGTCTGCCTTGAGCTCACATTGGCTCATGCTGGGGCTCTGGATCCATTTGAGGCCTGAGTGGGCCCTCAAAAACCCTAACCTTCTAGGGTTTCCGGGTAAAATACAGAGCAACCAGTTAAATCTGAACTCCAAATAAATGACACCCGGGACACAGGACAAGCATATACTAAAAAGTGATTGCATATTTATCTAAAATTCAAACTGAACTAGGACGCTGCCTGTGCATTTGCTCAGTCTGGCATTCCTACCTGTGAATCTGCACTACAGCCTCGGGAGAGCCCCCCGTCCTGTCACAGGGGCCCCTCTGACACCTCGCTGCAGGCTCTCGGCTGTCCTGGCCTCTGCTCACACCAGTACAGGAAGCCTAATTGATTCGGGACAGCTGAGCCTGGGGCCCCCCCGCCTGACTGTGCTGTTCCGTCAGCTTCCTATTGCAGGTGCCCCCGCCCCCCGAAGTGCCCCTCAGCCATGCCCAGAGCAGGCATCTAGACTCACACCTGCACGTTCTGCCTTC